CACAGTATAGAGCTGAGAGCATGGCCTGGTATGTTGCACCAGCCTTGTAAGCATAAGGCCCTGAGTTCAAGCTGGGCGCCAGTGGCTCACGCCTGTAATCCTAGCTACTCAGGAGGCAAGATCTGAGGATCATGGTTCAAAGCCAGCCCAGGCAGGAAAGTCCGTGAGACTCTTATCTCCAATAAACCACCAGAAAACCGGAAGTGGCTCTGTAGCTCAAGTGGTAGAGCGCTAGCCTTGAGCTGAAGAGCTGAGGGACATTGCCCAAGCCCAGAGTTCAAGTCCCACAACCAACAACAACAAAAAAAAAAAAGGCCCTGAGTTCAAACCCTAGACACACACACACACACACACACACATACACACACAGAAAGAGAGAGAAAGAGAGAGAGAGAAACGCACAGTGGCTAGTATTACCAAAAGACAATGAAGCAGAAGAATATAAGAGATGGAAGACAAGATTGATGAAATATTGCACTCAGATAATAAACTCAAAACTAAACCTGTAGGAACTGTGGAATATGATCAAAAAGCCTATACCTGCACGTTCATGAGATAGAAGAAGGAAGCGAAATACAAAGTAAAGGCATAGGAAACCTATTCAAGGAAATCATAGCAGAAAAAATTCCAAATTGTGGTGATGACACTGACACGTGTACAGGAAGCATTTTTTTTTTGTCATTCGTGTAGCTTGAACTCAGGGCCTGGGCACTGTCCCTGAGCTCTTTTACTCAAGGCTAGAACTCTACCACTTTGAGTCACAGCACCACTTCTGGTTTTTAAGTGGTTAGCTGGACATAAGAATTTCATGAGAACTTTTCTGCTGGGCTGGATTCAAACCATGATCCTAAGATCTCAGCCTCCTGAGTAGCTAGGATGACAGGTGTGAGCCACCAGCACTAAGCTTACAGTAGGAATTTTGAACTCCAAATAACATGATCAGAACAGCTCCATTTCCCATTATAAAGTGTCAAGAATAGAGAATAAAGAAATGATGTTGTAGTAATAAGAGATAGGAGCTTATGTACAAACACACAACAAACAGCACCAACCCTATAAGATAAGAAAGTATGCAATAATATATTTCAAGTCCTGAAAAAATAAGCCAACTAAGAATATTATATCCGGCTGGGAAGGTGGCTCAGTGGTAGAGCACTTGCCTTGCATGCTCGAGGCCCTGGATTCGATTCCTCAGTACCACATAAGAAAAAAACCAGAAGTGGCGCTGTGGCTCAAGTGGTAGAGCGCTAACCTTGAGCTGAAAAGCTGAGGGACAGCGCCCAGGCCCAGAGTTCAGGCCCCACAACTGGACCCAAAAAAAATTTTTTTTGAAAAAAAAAAAAAGAATATTATATCCAACAAAGATACCACTCAGTTTTGATGGACAAATAACCCTGTACATAAGAATAACACTGCTAAAGCAGTATTATCTCATAATGAAACCAGAGAAAGAAACAGCAACAAAGTAAATAGGCCAAATTATTTGATGAACATAGATGTAAAAACTCTCAATAAAATAATTGCAAATCCAATCCAACCATGCATTGGTTGGTTCCTCAAAATATGGTCTTGCTATACTACGCCTGTGCATATATCCAAAGGAGTAGCAATCAGTATACAAGAGAGATGCCCATATTTATTGTAGCTCTGTTCAATATATATATATGTATATATATATGAGAGAGAAAAAGGGTCTATATATAGTATAAATACAGATATATATATACTATAGAATATTACTCATTTGTTAAAAATTATGCCATTTGCAGAAAACTGGATGGAATTTGAGATCATAATGTTGAGTTTAGCCAAGTTTAAAAAGCCAAATGTCACCTTTTTTCACCCATTTGTGGTATCAAGACTTGAAAGGTATATACACACAGATATATAGGTAGGAAGACAGACAGACAGACAGATATATAGATTAGTGGGATAGTTGTGGAGATAAGGAAAAGAATGACAGAGTGAATCATATCAAAATAATGGCATTGCTGGGTGCCAGTGGCTCAGGCCTGTAATCCTAACTACTCAGGAGGCTGAGATCTGAGGGTTGCAGTTTGAAGCCAGCCTGAGCAGGGAAGGCTGTGAGACTCTTATCTCCAATAAAACCACCAGAAAAGCTGATAATAGATGCCTATGTGAAATACCATGGTGAAATCCCTCTATATAATTAATATACACTAAAAAGAAAAGTGACAGGAAAGTAAAACAGGCTCTGCTGGGGAATGAATACCAGCAGGAGGGTGAATATGATCAAAGTAATTTATATACATGTATGAAAATAGAATGCTGAAAGCCATTGAAATTGTAAGAAGGATGGAGGATGAGGGAGACTGGGGGAGGTAGGTTGACAAATTTGTTCAGGGTACAGTGTGTGCAAGTACAACATTGCTCAATTAACCAGAGTGTAGCAAAACCTTGTCTTTGTGGAGGAACTTCCTACCCCAGGACCTTAGCGATTCATGTTGCCCTTCACAGCCAAGGCAGTCTCCATGTTAATGGTCTATGCTTACTCCTTATCACACACCCCATGGCTGCCTCCTGAGGCCCAGCAGACATTTTCCCATCTACTAGCTGGCCATGCTGCTGGTAGCTCAGAGAATTTGTCTCTGGGTATAACATCTGTAAAGCTTAGCTGACTCCTGACTCTCAGAAGGTCTGATTGCATACCCCTCTGAATTAGCTTTTAATTTAGTTTTGTCGCTTGTAGGGCTTGAACTCAGGTCCTGGGCACTGTTCCTGACCTCTTTTGCTCAAGGCTAGTGCCCTACCATGTTGAGCCACAGCACCACTTCCAGTTCTCTGATGGTCAACTGGTGATAGTCTCACCGATTTTCCTGCGCAGGCTGGCTTTGAACCATGATCTCAGATCTCAGCCTTCTGAGTAGCTAAGATTACAGGCATGAGCCACTGTCAGCCGACTTAGCTTTTTATTTTTATTTTTCAGTTGTGGGGTTTGAACTCAGGGCCTGGGCACTGTTCCTGAGCTCTTTTTGCTCAAGACTGGCACTCTACCACTCTGAGCCACAGCACCACTGAAATAGCTTTTTAGACTCCTTCCTTCCCACATGTTTTTGAGGGATGGAAGGTTCACATAGATGCCAGGAATAAAACAAGTAGTCAAGGGTAGGCTTCTGCCTCTGGAAATAAAGCCCAGAGGATCTGAGAGTCAGGATAGACTAAGGAAAGTGAGGCATGGTACACGTAAGGTCTGCCCAGGAAGTGCAGGCCCCATGCAGCCGGCCTCCCTCTTCCTCTTGGTTAAGTACCTGCCCAGTACCTGCGTTACCTAGCTAACTGGCACACCTGGAGGCAGTTACCCCCCCTTTCTCTGACGTCACACCTCCCATCAGACCGTGGGAGAGTCCCAGCCTCTGAGGTCACATCCGAATTCCATGTGACATCACCTCCCCCCACCCCCACCTGGCCACACCTGGCCACACCTTCTCCCTGCCCCGCCCCACCCCCCTTTCCCTACTTCAATCCAGGTGGGCCATCCGCCAGCCCCCTTCAGCCATGTGAGTCTCTACCAAGCATGGCCCGGAAGCAATTCAGAAATAAAACTTCTCTCTGTGCCTAAATGCCAAGTGACGTTCTCATTCATCGGCTACCTAATTTAAACCGGACAGTAAGCAACTGCCAGGGATTCCAAAAGTCAAGCTTAAAGCAAATACAGGAGCTACTTAATTCATCTTGTGATTAGGGACCAAAGTCATTTAGGAGAAAATGAGGCAAATAAATTGAAGAAAATGAGGCCTAGAGAAGGCAACTCAGAAACACGGTATTTAGAAACAAAGACTCTCTTTGCTTCAAAGAGAGACAACTGGATGCATTCCTTCTGTCACTGGACAGAGGTGAGGTTTAGTGAATCTTCCCTTTAAATGTGGTCCCTCTTCACGCAGGGTCCTTGGCTGTGATTGCAGAATAAGAATTTCTGGACAATGGGGCTGGGAAGGTGGCTCAGTGGTAGAGCGCTTGCCTTGCATGCATGAGGCCCTGGGTTCGATTCCTCAGCACCACATAAGCAAAAAGAAAAAAGCCGGAAGTGGCGCTGTGGCTCAAGTGGTAGAGCGCTAGCCTTGAGCTGAAGAGCTAAAGGACAGCGCCCAGGCCCAGAGTTCAGGCCCCACAACTGGACCCCCCCCCAAAAAAAAAAAAAGAATTTCTGGACAAGTCACAATGGTAAGAAAACTTGGCGGAGCTTTATTAAGTAAACGAGACAGCTCAAACTGGCAAAACAGGCTACTTGCCACAAGTCCCCAGCTCACTACAAGTGCTGCTTTTACCTCACCTATAAAAGCTCTGCTACAACTATACTCAGTGCGACCTCTCTGATCCCCACCAGGGAGTTTGCCCTGGAGCATACCCCAATAAACTTTCCTATCAATCTTTTTATTCTTCTCTGCGTGGTCCCTTCCTCGCCTATAACCTTACAGGAGCAAGTGGACAAACACACAAGAAGGGCAGGAACACAAACTAACAGAAGGTGGATGCTCTCGTGGAGAGAGACACGCAGCTCCTTGGGCTGTTGGGGTACTTACAAGGTAAAGGCAGGGGGTCTGGCTTCAACGTTATGTCAAGATAGGTGCTTTGTTTTTGCTTAATCATACCTGGTGTTGCTGAGTTTCCAGGTAAGAATGCATCTACCATAAAACAGAGCCTTATCCTTGAGACAAGGAAGGTGTCCTACCATCTGCATTTTGGGGTAGGAGGTGGCGTACGTTTGGGGAAGCATTTTTCTCAGAAAGGCACACATCCTGTCAGACAAGTGTTTCCATTCTCTGAAAAGCACTGGGGTGGGGGGTAGAGGGGCGGGCAAGAGGAAGGAGAGTTGTCCTATCAGAAGACATACAGTGGTCTCTGCCCCATCCCTCCCCCCCACACCCCCCCCCCACCCCCAAGCAGAGGACAGTAAATACCTCCGCATCCCTGTCTGTCTCCAGCCCTTCAGCTGCTGGAAGACCAGGCTGAAAGGTACCAGGCAGCCTGGTCCTGCAAAGATGGAGCTCTCCCGGAACCTGTATGAGACCCCTGGGGATATGCTGGGCACCTTCCTGAGTCAAGACCTTCAGCCCCAAAGGGTTTGGAAGGAGGAAATTCAGGATGTATGGCATAGAATCGAGGGGTTCTTTCTTGAGCAGTGCTTCCGTGATGAGCTGGTTCTGGACCAAAAAGTCAAGGTCCTGAAGGTGGTAAAGGTGAGCATACAGGACTCTGGGGTTTAGGTCTTAGCTGGACTCCTGTGGGATCTTGGGGGGGGGGGGGAGGGGGCGGGGGGAGGGAGTGTATCACTTTATCTCTGAGCTCCGGTCTCCTAGGATTCTTATGAGCCATAAATAGAAAAAAGCTTGGGGAAGATGCAGTAAATGATTCCATAGAGCTGAGGGATTATGGTGGTGGTGGTGGCTGGCGGTGATGAATTCAGTGATCTCAATGCCAAGGAGTCTGGTGGAAAATGGGTAGCAGGACTCTATAAAATGTTATGCTTGTTTCTTGCTGAAGAAACTCCACTTTACCTTCAGTCATAAAAAAAAAAAAAACTATATTTACCTTATAAAATGGTACTGACAGGGGCTGGGAAGGTGGCTCAGTGGTAGAGCGCTAGCCTTGAGCTGAAGAGCTGAGGGACAGCGCCCAGGCCCAGAGTTCAGGCCCCATGACTGGACCCCTCCCCCCCCCCAAAAAAAGGAACTACCTTGCAATTAGGTCATACCAGAAGGCATTTGGTAAGTTAAATGGGTTTTCAGGGCCTGACCAGCTAATTCAGTATTCATAAATACAGTTTACCCTGACAAAGTACTCATTTGTAACTCAACATCTTTGTGTGTGTTGGGGTAGGAGGGAAGGATGGGATCCTGGGGCTTGAACTCAGAACTCAGAGCACTGTCCCTGAGCTGTCTTGGTGATTAATTAGAAATAAGAGTCCCTCAAACTTCTTGCCTGGGCTGGCTTCAAAACAGGAATATCAGATCTCAGCCTCCTGAGTAGCTAGGATTATAGGTGTGATACAGCACCTGGCTTATCACTCAGCTTTTTTTTGGTTGGTCATGGGGCTTGACCTCTGGACTTGGGCACTGTCCCTGAGCTCTTCAGCTCAAGGCAAGTGCTCTACCACTGTAGAGCCCTAGCAAGACCATGACCATTTTGTGCATAAAAACTCCAATTTGAGCCGGGCGCCAGTGGCTCACACCTGTAATCCTAGCTACTCAGGAGGCTGAGATCTGGGGATCGCGGTTCAAAGCCAGCCCAGGCAGGAAAGACCTTGAGACTCCTATCTCCAATAAACCACTAGAAAACCAGAAGTGGTGCTGTAGCTCAACTGGTAAAAGTGTTCACCTTAAGCTGAAGAACTGAGGGACAGCGCCCAGGCCCAGAGTTCAAGCCCCATGACCGACAAAAAAAAAAAAAAAAAACTCCAATTTGAGACCAGGCCTATTTCCAGCCTATGAGCTTAGGTCACTGAAATGACCACAGATGTCCCACTTGTACCCTACCCGATAAGTTCCACTAGCAACAGCCAATGAGCGAGAGTCCCCAGAGCCCTGAGACCACAAGCATTGCAATGCCAGCATATTTTTTGTGGTTTAGCTTGCTGCCCTATCTTAATGAGACTGTTACAAGGCTGTTGTAAAACACTGGCTAACCATCTGCTAAAACTGGTAAAGAATAACCAATTGTACTAGCCAATAAGAATGTGACAAAACCTTTTTTTTTTTCCTTTGCCAGTTGTGGGGCCTGAACTCTGGGCCTGGGCACTGTCCCTCAGCTCTTCAGCTCAAGGCTAGCGCTCTACCACTTGAGCCACAGTACCACTTCCAGCTTTTTCTGCTTATGTGCTGCTGAGGAATTGAACCCAGGGCCTCATGCATGTGAGGCAAGCCCTCTACCTTCCTAACCCCAATGTGACAAAACTTACTAACCCTTAGCTATGCAATTGTTAGCCAATCATGTAACTGCTAAGTTGGAAACCCCCTTCCTCCTGCTCTAATAGTGATAAAAACCCTGCCACCCTGGAAGGCGGGGCTCTCAATCGTGACCCGCTGCAGAGGTGACAGTTGGGAGTCGACTCTTGTGTGCTTGCATTAGAATCGGCTCCTTGGAGGTCTTTGGGGGTCCCTATCTGGGCACAACACCACTTGAGCCACAACGCCACTACATAACTCAACTTTTAACATCAATCAAAAATTAGCCAGGCACTAGTGAGAGAGGCTGGAATGTAAAAATCCTAGTTCAAAACCAGACATGACTTTAAGGGAGAGTGTGTTAAGGTCCTGGGAGGGGCAGGGAATTGTGTTTTACATTTCATTTAGATCCTTTGAATTATTTACCAGGTATTTAACTTTTCTAAATCAAGAGAAAGCCATAATATAGATTGACTAACCCTTACCCAAGACATTTATGGACTCAGAGAGTTTGGATTTTGGATCCCTGCCACCGAGTTTAGAATATTTACCTTGAGGATGGCACCTCAAACAAAGCATGAAGTGTGTGTGAATCTTTTCTGTGTACCTTTTTTTTTTTGTCGGTCGTGGGGCTTGAACTCTGGGCCTGGTCGCTGTCCTTCAGCTCTTCAGCTCAAGGCGAGTGCTCTACCACTTGAGCTACAGCGCCACTTCCTTTTCTGTGTACCTTATAAGCATCATTTAAAGCGGTTTAGAGTAATATTGTCAGTGCACCTGTATTCTCACTATAGCTCATCACTAGCTGGAATTCCTCACCTGTGTTGGTCAATACCCACAGTTTGAGGTTTGGGAGCATTTCACTTTTATTTTTTGGTCGGTCATGGGGCTTGAACTCTGGGCCTGGGTGCTGTCCCTCAGCTCTTCAACTCAAGGCGAGCGCTCTACCACTTGAGCCACAGCGCCACTTCGGGTTTTCTGGTGGTTAATTGGAGGTAAGAGTCTCACAGACGGTCCTGCCAGGGCTGGCTTTGAACCATGATCCTCAGATCTCAGCCTCCTGAGTAGCTAGGATGACAGGCGTGAGCCACCGGCACCTGGCTTGTATTTCATGTTGTTGAGGTTTAGAGTTGGGATGCTCAACCTCTTTCCACAGCAATGGCTGCTATGTATGATGGAGACCATCGATTCCTTTGGGCGGGCTGTACACAGGGCCCTACCCACGGGTGCTGCTGGGCTTCACCGTCACCCTGGGCGTCAAGTTAAAGCTACCTTTATCTTCCTCCACAGGGAGGTTCCTCAGGGAAGGGGACCATACTGAATCAGCACTCAGACGTGGACATGGTTCTGTTCCTAAGCTGCTTTTCCAGTTTCAAGGATCAGGCACAGCACCGAAAAGACATCATCGACTTCATTAAGGAGAAACTGGAGCGCTGCGGAAAAAGCCTGGCCTACAACATCAGTGTGGTCCAACACAGAGAGGGGAAAAGGACCCCGCGCTCCCTGACCTTAATGGTCCAGCCCAAGGAGAGCAGTGACGTCATGCGGGTGGATGTGCTCCCGGCCTTTGATGCCCTGGGTAAAGATGGCGCGGGGTTAGGCCCAGAGAAACAAGTTGGGGGAAGAAGGAAGAGAGGGTGGGAGAGAAGGGCAAGAGGGAGGGAGGGAGGTGGAAAGGAAAGGACAAGGCCAGGCGCTGGTGGCTCACACCTGTCATCCTAGCTACTCAGGAGGCTGAGATTGAGGATCACAGTTCAAAGCCAGCCAGGGCTGGAAAGTCTGTGAGACTCTTATCTCCAATTAACCCACAAGAAAAACGGAAGTGGCACTGTAGCTCAAAGCCATAGAATGCTAGCCTTGAGCAAAAGATTCAAAAGTTCCAGCCCAAGACCTATGGGAGAAAGAAGGGAAGGAAGGAAGGAAGGAAGGAAGGAAGGGAGGGAGGGAGGGAGGGAGGGAGGGAGGGAGGGAAGGGAGGGAGGGAGGGAGGGAGGGAGGGAGGGAGGGAGGGAGGGAGGAAGAGAGAAGGAGAAAGGGAGAAGGAGGGAGGGAGGGAGAGGGAGAGAGGGAAGGAGGGAGGGAGGGTAAGAGGAAGGGAGGGAGTTCCTGGAGAGAGTGTTGCAAGAAACAATTGATGCATATGTTATAATATGCTAGATGATATGCATATCTTCCTGTCTTCCTCTCAGGATCCTTTAACCCAAACTCTAAACCAGCACCAGAAATCTATGAGAATTTAATAACTAGCGAGGGCCACCCTGGCGAGTTCTCATCAAGCTTCACAGAGCTACAGAGACACTTTGTGAAAAGCCGTCCAGTTAAACTGAAGAATCTTCTTCTGCTGGTGAAGCACTGGTACCTGCAGGTAAGAAGGTGCTGGGCCAAGGGAGGGGGATGCAGGGACAAGTTGTGACTCGGTGGTAGAGCACCAACCTTGAATGGAAAAGCTAAGGGACAGCACCCAGGCTCCAAGTTCAAGCCCTACTAGTGGCACAAAAAAATTAATTACTTAAAAAAAAAAAAAGATAGCAAGCTAGATGCTGGCAGCTCACACCTGTAATCCTAGCTGCTCAGAAGGCTGAGGTTTGAGGATTGTGGTTGGAAGCCAGCCCATGCAAAAAAGTCCCTGTGAGATTCTTCTCCTCAATTAACCCACTCAAAAACCAGAAGTGGTACTTGACTTCATAGGTAGAGCGCTAGCCTTGAGCACAGAGAGGCTCAGGGACAGTGCCCAGGCCCTGAATTCAAGCCCTACAATGGAAAAAAAAGAAGAAAAAAATGATAGCAGATTAAAAAACTTAAAAAACAACAACACAACAAGGACTGGGAAGGTGGCTCAGTGGTAGAGCCCTTGCCTTGCATGCATGAGGCCCTGGGTTCCATTCCTCCACCACATAAGCAGAAAAAAGCTGGAAGTGGTGCTGTGGCTCAAGTGGTAGAGAGCTAGCCTTGAGCTGAAGAGCTGAGGGACAGCGCCCAGGCCCAGAGTTCAGGCCCTAAGACTGACAAATATACACATGTATATACATATATATATATATATATATTTAGCTCAGTGGAAAAGCACTTGCCTGGCAAGTGCAAAGCCCTGTGTTCAGTCCTCAGCTCTGCCAAAAAAAATTAATAATACTATTACCAGTCCAGATACTTCAGCCACTTCTAGCTCATTATTTATCTTGACATATAACTTAGGTTCAAAAAGTTAGAGAATGCTAGGTGCTGGTGGCTCACATTTGTAATCCTCAGGAGACTGAGAGCTGAGGATCACAGTTGGAAGTCATCTGGGACAGGAAAGTCTTGAGACTCTTAGCTCCAATTAACTACCAAAAGAAAAAAGAAATGGAGCTATGGCTCAAGTGGTAGAGCACCAGCTTTAAGCAAAAACAACCAAAGAACAACGCCCAGGCCCTGAGTTCGAGTCCTAGTACCAGGGAGGGAGGTAAGGGGGAAGAAGGGTATAAAGAAGGGATTTTATTTAAGATTGTGATATGTTTTGAAATTTTTTAGAAGGAGTTTGGGCATTTCACATTAATCATTTGCTTTCATTTTTCAGTTTGTTCTCTCTCTCTTTTTTGGGGGGGGGCTGCGGGGCTTGAACTCTGGGCCTGGGCGCTGTCCCTCAGCTCTTCAGCTCAAGGCGAGCGCTCTACCACTTGAGCCACAGCGCCACTTCTCATTTTCTGGTGGTTTATTGGAGATAGGAGTCTCACGGTCTTTCCTGCCCGGGCTGGCTTTGAACTGCAATCCTCAGATCTCAGCCTCCTGAGTAGCTAGGATTACAGGTGTGAGCCACCGGCACCCGGCCAGTTTGTTCTCTTATGTCGTCTGTGTGTTTTTGTTTTTCTCCAATGATGTCCTACATTTGCTATATTCTATGACTTCCTCCAACAGCATGGGTTGGTGAAGCCCAAAAGGTCCATTAAAAAAAAAAAAAACTTGTTGGGCTGGGAAGGTGGCTCAGTGGTAGAGTGCTTGCCTTGCATGCATGAGGCCCTGGGTTTGATTCCTCAGCACCACATAATCAGAAAAAGCCAGAAGTGGTGCTGTGGCTCAAGTGGTAGAGCGCTAGCCTTGAGCTGAAGAGCTAAGGGACAGTGCCCAGGCCCAGAGTTCAGGCCTCACGACAGACCCCCCCCAAAAAATTGTTCTTCTTTGGTTGAGATTTTAATTGCCAAGGTCATAATTCCCTCTAGATCTCACCATTTCATGGTTTGTGCTACATCAGAGAGCAGAGTGACCCTAAAATTCTAAGTCATCTCACCTGCCCTCCCTCCCTCCCCTATTCATATGTGCAGTACGTGAAACACAAATATCGAGCACCATTGCCCCCAAAATATGCACTGGAGCTCCTGACCATCTACGCCTGGGAGACGGGGACAGGTGAAGGAGAGAACTTCAAGTTGGAAGAAGGGCTTATAGCTGTGATGAATCTCCTCAGAAATTATGAAAACATTTGCATCTACTGGACCAAATACTACGATTTCCAAAACGAGGTTGTCGGAAACGCCATCAAACAACAGTTGAAGAGTTCCAGGTAACTGTGTTGATTGTATCACCTTCAGCTTTAAGGAAAAGCCTTAAAAAAATAATTTTAAAAAAAGAAAGAAACATACTAGTTTCTTTGCAGCTGAAAAGCTCAATGATTAAAAACAGCTTCAGGTATGGCATGATCCAGCTCCGAGTCCCTTCCCATGAATTGTTCCAATCTGCCCTCTCTAGGGCTTTACCATTACATTCAGGTTCACTCCTTCAAGGCTGTAAAATGGGAGGCAGTTCTAGACTTCTCATCTGGACACATACCTTCTGGTACAAGAAAGAGCAATCTGGCCAAAATGTGAGATGCACTCTGGGCAGACTTAGACAGGTTATGCCTTCTCTCCAGAACTAAGAGCTTCATATCACCATCAGCTCTTCCTGCATGGGGCATGCACAATCCCAGATATGAATGTCAGAGGTCACTATTTCCTTTCTCTCTCCAGGCCCATTATCCTAGACCCAGCTGACCCCACCAATAACTTGGGAAGGAGACAAGGATGGGCCCAGGTGGCTGAAGAAGCTGGTAACTGCCTACGGCAGGTCTGTTGCTTACAAAAAGTCCCCAGGCCAGGCTGGCAAGTACAGGTAAGACTCCATTCCATAATTAGGACTTAGTTCAGACCTCATACTAACCCTACATGAATTTTCCCCACAGCACCCCCTAAATTCCCAGGACAGGCAGCACGTAGACATCCCAACAAACCACGTGACATCCCAACAAACCACGCGAGCAATTCTTCCCTCTGCTCCAAATGCCCAGGCCTTGGTGGTGTGCTTTGTTTTGTTTTGTTTTGTTTGTCCATCGTGGGACTTGAACTCTGGGCTTGGGCACTATCCCTCAGCTCTTTAGCTCAAGGCGAGTGCTCTACCACTTGAGCCACAGAGCCACTTCCGGTTTTCTGGTGGTTTATTGGAGATAAGAGGCTCACAGCCTCTCCTGCCCAGGCTGACTTTGAACCGTGATCCTCAGATCTCAGCCTCCTGAGTAGCTAGGATTATAGGCGTGAGCCACCAGCACCCAGCTTGGTGGGTTTTTTTTTTTTTAATCTGTAAAATGGGAAGACAATCTTCCCTATTCTGTAGGCAATTCAGAAACATGATCTGAGAATTCCTCACATAAACCTATCCTGTGTTGCCTCTTTTGTGGTTAGAAAAGAAAATGCAGCTTCTTGTCTTCTCAACAAGAAATGTAACAGATCTTTCCACAGACACACGTGAGGATCACAGGCCTCCAAACAATCCTAGCTGCACAGGCTCCCTGGTATGGTTTTGCACACACACACACACACACACACACACACACACACACACACACACAGATAACTGCTGTCCTGGATCTGTGTTCAGAGGAATCCAGTGTATGAAGGAATTTAGTGTTCAGAATCCAGGGCTGAGCCTTCCAGCTCCCTGGCAGATTTTAATCTTCCCAACTTGCTACTTCGAGAGACTCTTGTCACTTTTCCCACAGCCCACAACCTCGTGGACAGCGAGGAAAGCAAGGCAGGTAACGAGAGCCTCGCTCGGACCCATCAGCCAGCCAACCATAGGCAGAGAGTGCAGCAGACCAGGAGGCTTCTGGGAGGGCAGCAAGAAATGATGTGCCTCCCATCACACCTCCTCAGTTCCCCAGAAATCCACCCCCAGGCATCCACTTACCACCTCCTTCCCTGGATCCGACAACCATCTGTGCCTGTGTCTGCATGTGTTTCCACTTTACTTAAAATGCAATGGGAAGTTGGGCACCATGGCTCCTAGCTCCTAGCTACTCAGGAGACTGAGATCAGAGGATCATGGTTCAAAGCCAGCCTGAGCAAACAAGCCCATGAGACTCTTATCTCCAGTTAACTACTAAAAAAGTCAGAAGGAGCTGGGCACTGGTGGCTCACGCCTGTAATCCTAGCTACTCAGGAGGCTGAGATCTGAGGATTGCAGTTCAAAGCCAGCCCGGGCAGGAAAGTCCATGAGACTCTTCTTTCCAATTAACCACCAGAAAACCAGAAGTGACACTATGGCTCAAGTGGTAGAGCCCTTGCCTTGAGCTGAAGAGCTCAGGGACAGTGTCTAGGCCCAGAGTTCAAGCCCCACAACCACCACCACCAACAAAAAACCAGAAGGGGAACTGTGACTTAAGTGGTAGAGCACTTGAACACAAAAGCCCAGGTCCTGAGTTCAAGCCCCAAGACCAGCACACCTAAAATAAATGAAGAAGAAGAAGAAGAAGAAGGAATAAAGGAATGGAGGGAGGGAGAGAGGGAGGGAGAAAAGACTTTTTTAACCACTACTCTGTAGACTTTTGCAATAACCATACACCCCAGAGCCTGACACAGATTTTTCCATTTGACCCCAAGCTCTAGTCTCTCAAATATCAGTACTGTAATGTGCCATCAGAGGTACTAATGTCATTACCACACGACAGGTGGAGACTTGGAATAGGTAGTTCCGCACAGGAGCATTATTTGGAGATCTGTTACCAGTTGTTTCTCCAGCTTGAGTGAGTCCAGGGACAAAGTTTGATTCAGTGCTCAAAGCTCAGTGTATATCTAGGATAACCAAATAGCTTCCTCTGCTTAGGATAGCCTTCTGCCTTGTTGTCTGTTGTAATTATTAATAGCTCCTCCTTTTTTATCTTTTTGTTTTTTGTATTGCTGTTGGGACTTGAACTCAGGACTTGGACCCTGTCTTTTAGCTTTTTCACTCAAAGCTGGTGCTCTGCCCCTTGAGCCACCCCTCTATGTTGGCTTTTTGCTGATCAATTGGAGATAGTCTCTCTGATTTGTCTGCTGAGATTGGCTTTGAACCGCAATCCTCAGATCTCAGCCTGCTGAGTAGCCGGGCTTACATGCTTGAGCCACCAGTGTCCAGCTCAGTCCCTTCTTTTATTTATTTTTTGACAGTGTCTCAGTAAGAAAATAAATTATATCACCAATAGGCAGAAAGGAGAGGCTTTGGAGAGAAGGGACCGTAGACGGCCCTGGCTCATCTGTTTCTCCCTCGCCTCCAGCCAGCAAGGGACATGCCGGTGACCGTTAAACAGAGAGACATGGAAGCACCCGGCGCCAGTGGCTCACGCCTGTAATCCTAGCTACCCAGGAGGCTGAGATCCGAGAATGGTGGTTCAAAGCCAGCCCAGGCAGGAAAGTCCTTGAGACTGAAGAATCCCAGCAGTCTTGCAAACCTGAATATCAAAGACTGTGACACCATCATTCTCATTAGGAGAAGCTGAACCTCCTCCCCCCTGCAGGGGTGCTCACATCTGGATGCTCAGGATGTAGCCTGCCCCTCCCCCACTCGATGATAACTGTATTCTCTCTAATAATGAATATATCAGATACATTGTACATAGGCCTCTATCCCTCTCTTGCTTAGAATTCACCTGTGTCTCCCCCATCACCTAGAGAATGAAGTTCACATGGCTTTGCTTGGCATTCGGGGCCCTGGATAATTGAGCCTGAGACCTTGCCTGTCCCTCTAGCGTCTTTCATTGCTCAAAAGCACATCAAATATTCCCAGGTGCTTGCGTTGCTGAATGCTGGGTCACAACTCCATTGTGCACAGTCAACTGCCTTTTCCCCATCTCTTGTATTTTTATCTTTCAACATTCCAACTCTCAAGTCTTTCCATCTCCAACTGTGAATCCCAGATCAACAGAATCATTGGTAACTTCTTAGACTGGCAAAATTTCAGCAAGCCGGGTGCTGGTGGCTCACTCCCGTCATCCTAGCTATTCAAGAGGCTAAGATCTGAGCATAGCAGTTCGAAGCCAGCCCAGGCAGAAAAGTCCCCATGAGACTCTTATCTCCCATTAACCACTCAAAAAACAGAAATGGCGCTGTGGCTCAAGCGGTAGAGCACTAGTCTTGAGCACAAAGAGGCTCAGGGAAAGTGCCCAAGCCCTGAGTTCAAGCCCCACAACCAACAAGAACAACAAAAAGTTTTGGCAATTCTCCCTGACTGACTCATATGAAAATCCCTTTGTACAATATATGTGTAACCGATGGCACCATACAAAAGGAAATGTACTTATTAATGATGCATGTAATTGTAACCACTCTGTATATCACCTCTATACTAACAAATTAATAAAAAAAAAAAATTTAAAAACTGTAAAGCCCTGTGAACATGAGCTGATATTTAAAAAAAAAAAAAAAAGTGATAGCTCAGGCTTGTAATCCTAGCTACTCTGGAGACTTAAATCTGAGGATCAAAGTTCAAGGTAGCCCAGGCAGGAAAGTCTATGAGGCTTTTATATCCAATTAATCATCAAAAAGCCAGAAGTGGCGCTTTGGCTTCAATGGTAGTGCCAACCATAAGAGAGGAAGAAGAAGAAAAGAGAAAAAAAAAAAAAGCAACTGAGGAACGAGTGCCCAGACCCTGAGTTCAAGCCCCAGGACTGACACAAAATGACAAATTGATATGGGCTAATTGGGAAGGCAGTCCTACATTGGATCCTCAGAGCCTAGAGGAGAGGGAAAACCTTGACATGGTCAAGAATTGGCAGAAAGGCTTTCTGGGAAGAGAGAAGTAGAGACAGGCTTTAGAAGGTTGTTGGTGGTCTAGGGAGACATGATGCTAGTTTGGGCTGGAGCTAGGCACAGGAATAAAAAGTGGATGCATTTGAGGCCCCAAATGATAGACTTTAAACCACATGAGCCAGCTATTATTAGTTCTCTCCAAGTTCCCCCTTTATAGCCCAGATCGGAATAGCAGGAATTCTGTTTTCCTGTCTGCATTTGGCAATTTACTCACTCCTAGTTTAAACAGCAAAAACAAATAATAGATGGGCATGCAGTTTCTATTTTCCTCCAATATCCTTTTCCCTTTCTTCTAAGAATTTTTAGGTAAGTACACTGCTACTACACTAAGTACACTGCTAAAGACTACATTTGCCAGCCTCGTTTGCCGCTGGCTCTAAGCCATGTGTTAAGTTCTGGGCAATAGAAGTCATTTCTGTTTTATCCACAAATTTTGCATATTCATCCTGACATTCATCATGACAATTTCCATTTATCTATTATGCCTGGAATTCCTAGGAGCAGTTTCCCTTCTGTTTTATTTCCAGGGAAGCAATGGAGAAATCTTGTAATATTAGGCACTAAAATAACATTTGTGAAAGTTTCTGACGTGTGTTAAGTTTCCTTCCCTAATTATTGCAGGGGAAAGTGTATAAAAATCCACAATCCTGGGAGCTGATCCTGCTTTGTTTGAATAGAAAGATGTGAATTTTGATGATGGGGCTCCCTAATTTGCTACCTCCCAACAGAGGATTTCTGGGAGCCTGTGGATCAAACAACCCAGTATCACTAGGGGAACCCAAGAGGAACTCAATGACTTTGATCAAGTGCCAAGGAGAGAATTATAGGGTTTCAAGGAGGAAGAACTTCGAACTGCTGACTCTTGGATTTCCTCCATACCCTGGCTTTATTCCTGTTTCTGTCCAGCCTGGGCCTGAACACCCTAGTGGATTCCTTCAACTTTGTGACCAATTATCCATTCACTCTTAGATCATAAAAACACAGGTTTACAAGTCACAGAGACTCAATTTCAGTTAATTTAGGTTAAAAAAAATTGAATGGCTTGTAAGAGTCTAGGGATAACCAGGTGCTAGTTTCATGCCTGTAATCCTAGCTACTCAGGAGGAGGCTGAGAACTGGGGATCATGATTCAAAGCCAGCCCGCAGGAAAGTCCATGAGACTCTTATCTCTAATAAACTACTCAGAAAAAACTCAAAGTAGCACTGTGGCTCAAGCGGTAGAGCACTAGCTTTGAGTACAAAGAGTCTCGGAGACAGCACCCAGGCCCTGAGTTCAAGCCCCAGGTCTGGGGTGGGGGAGGGGGAAGTCCAAGGATTTTAAAATTGGGCATAGCTGTAGGATTCCCCAGAGAACAGCTAATAAGAAATATATGTAGCTATGAAAGAGGGGATTGATTATGAGAATTGGCTTATGTGATTATGGAGGCTGGGGATATCCCATAATATGCCACCTGCAACCTGGTGACCCAGGAATGCCAGTGGTGTGATTTAGTGTGAGTCACACCAAGGGAGCCAATAGTGTGAGTCCAAAGACTCAAGAACCTGGAGTTGGGAAGTCTGAAAACTTTTCCTCATTCCTTCACCTCTCTTTAAGTCCATCATAGATGAAATAATGCTCACCCAACAGTGGTGAGGGCAGAGGTTTCTTTCTTACTCTAAAGCCAGTCTTTCCTGGAAACACCTTTATTTACTTATTAGTCTAGAATTCCAAATGATGTCAAAGGGGAGTGTCAGTTAGTTTGTGGTGAGTGTTGCACCACCCCCAAAATATTTATTTGGTGGAACCCCTAATCCCAGGATCATTCCCACTTCTCAGTCTCTGCTCTCTTCTGCCTGGCAGGATTCTTCATCTTTAAGATTCACATGCAGGTGGGGGACCAGGGGAATGTGGCTCAAATGGCTAAAGTGCTGCTGAGCAAGTGGGAAGCTTTGAGTTCAAACCTCAGTACTGCCAAATTAAAACAAACAAACAAAAAAGCCTGGTGCCAGTGGCTCACGCCTGTCATCCTAGCTACTCAGGAGGTTGAGATCTGAGGATGGAGGTTCAAAGCCAGCCCGGGCAGGAAAGTCTATGAGACTCTTATCTCCACTGCACCACCAGAAAACCAGAAGTGGTGCTGTGGCTCAGCCTTGAGCTGAAGAGCTGAGGGACAGCACCCAGGCCCAGAGTTCAAGCCCCACAACTGACCAAAAAACAAAACAAAACAAAAACAACAAAACCCTGTAATCCTCCGATGTGAACCTCCTAAGTAGCTAAGATTATTGCAGGTGTGAGCCACCAGTACCCAACTGGCAGAATGTATTCTCTGCCCAGTGTTCTCAACCCCATCAGCACAACAAGCTTAATGGGGGAGAGTTATTATTAAATCCACCTTTGGAATAAAGAAAGTGAAGATCAGAGAGGTTAAGAGTCTGGCAAAGGCCACACTGGAATGCAGAGTTGAAACTTCATTCTTCAACTCCACCATAATCCAGACCTTTCGCTTTCCAATCTTTGGTTTTTCTTATAGCAAAGCTGGGACAGTTGGAGATGATGATCTGGGCTAGATCTCCCTCCCTTCCTGACAGGTCAAACCAGAACCACTTTCAGTTTCCAAACATCATGAAAAGGAAACTCCAAAAGCTAAGAATCGAAACCTAAGACCCAAAGATTGGCTGGATGCCAACTCTGTTAAGGTGGCCTCAAACCTGTCACCCTCAGTCCCATGTCACTAAGCACACCTGACACAATAAAAGGTCTTCAAGAACAGCAACCCAGTCAGACAACTCATCCCCCTGGATCCTTTTCCATTCTGCTCCGTTATCCCACTAGGAGCTGAAAGCCAGCTGGAGAGGAGCCCCCTTAAGAAAGGAGGTGTGTACTGGGAGGCTGGGGAGTGTGTGGCTATATATGACCAACCAGCGGTGGTCCACTCCACAGAGATGGCCCTGGCCCAGGAGCTCTACAGCATCCCAGCCTCCAGGCTGGACTCCTTCGTGAGCCAGTGGCTACAGCCCAGACATGAATGGAAGGAAGAGGTGCTGGAGGCTGTTCGGACTGTGGAGCAGTTCTTGAGGCAAGAATGTTTCCAGGGAGATCGGAGCCTGGGCCAGGAGGTGCAGGTGCTCAAGGTGGTCAAGGTGAGATCTGGCTCTTCCATCCCCAGCCAGGCAGGGGATGCTGGGAACACCTTGCTTCCTTATCCCTACCATGCTACAGACAGCTGGGAACAGTCCAGCCTACCACATACACCTCACTTCACTGCTGTCTTGAACCAACCAAGGCTAATAATAATAATAGGTTGCAATTTGGGTTACAATAGCCTAATTCTGTCTGTGAAATTTTATCTTGTTCTTTTGCCCAAGTTACAGATGAATTCAATAGAAACACGGGCAGATTCCTAACTATCAAATGCAATCCAAGGTCTTTCGTTGGGTCCTGGCATGCTGTTTATAAAATATGGTTTGGGGACAGCTGGGGAAATTTTTGTTGTGATTTTTCCAGTACTGGTGCTTCAACTCAGGGCCTGGGCACAAACGCTTAGGTTTTTCACTCAAGGCTAGCACTCTACATCTTGAACCACAGCTCCACTTCTGCCTTGCTAGCAGTTAATTAGAAATAAGAGTCTCACAGACTTTCCTGCCTGGGCTGGCTTTGAACCATGATCCTCAGATCTCAGACTCCTAAGTAGCTAGGAGTACAAGTGTAAGTCACTTGGTACTTGGCCAATTTGGGAAATTTCTACATAATCTGGATAAAGTGAAGGAGTTGCTGTTGATTTTGTTAGGGGTAACAGTATTCTTGGGAGCACAAGAGAGAATGTTTTGTATGCTAACACTAAAATATTTCAGGACAAAGTTCCTAGATGTCTAAAAATGTTCTTTGGGCAGTTTAAATGTTGCAAACGTAACAAGTGTGGACCTGTTGGATCTGACTGGTTGATTCAGATGAATTATTCAGATGCATAAATGCTCTTTGCATTTTCTTTCTGGTTTTCCATATGCTTTATCTTTTTGATCATAAAAATATTTTTATAAATGGAGGCTCGCGGTGATTTGCACAGGCTCACATAGCTAGCATTGGAGCTAGAATTTGAATGTTAACTCAATGGTCAGGGATCAAGCCTCCTCGGCTGAGATTTGTCTCCAAGCTATATCCAGCTGCCCCACGTCACTTAACTAGGTTCAAAATTCAAGAGGGTCAGGCCTCAAAGTCAAAAGGCCCTGGAGAATTAGATAGTCTTAACCAATCCTTCTTTCTTTTCTTCCTTCCTTCTTTTTCTTTTTCTTTTTAATGTGCGTGTGTGCGTGTGTGTGTGTGTGTGTGTGTGTGTGTGTGTGTGTGTGTGTGTGTATGTATTGGTGTGATTTTGAACGTCCACTGTCAGCCACCACCTAGAATCTGATTCCTCCCCAGCAATTCCACCTCTCTACTCTGGGTAAGAAATAAGTAGGCCAGAGAAGGACAGGCGTTGTATAATAGGAACAGCAAGGCATTGGAGATCAGGTCTAGGAGACCTGAACATCTAAAAGGTACCTTCAAAATCATCCAGCTCGGGGCTGGGAAGGTGGCTCAGTGGTAGAGCGCTTGCCTTGCATGCATGAGGCCCTGGGTTCGATTCCCCAGCACCACATAAGCAAAAAGAAAAAAGCTGGAAGTGGTGCTGTGGCTCAAGTGGTAGAGCGCTAGCCTTGAGCTGAAGAGCTGAGGGACAGTGCCCAGGCCCAGAGTTCAGGCCCCACAACCGGACCCAAAAAAAAAAAAATCATCCAGCTCAATCTCCTGCTGTTACTGAAGCCAGACAGCCAAAGTATTTATCTGAGTCTATCTGATTAAAAAACAAACAAACAAATATGACAACACATAAATTGCTCACTTCCTGTGGGCCATCACCGTACCAAGCTCTTGGCATACAGTATTTAATCTAATCTTTCTAGTGATCCCATGATTCATTACTTTCATTTTATATATTTAGGGCTCTGAGGGATCATATGATAAGGGAAGAAGAAAAAAAAAAAAAACAGAACCAAGAGTCAAGTCAAGGTTAGGCCTTGAAGCCCAAGGTTGGGCATTGTAGAGCATTTGCCCAATGTGCTTGAGAATCTAAGAGCATTTACTGAACAAGTTTGAACATTTGGGACTCTATCCCCAGTAAGGAAAAGAAAAAGGAAACAAACAAAAGTCAAGGTCAAAGTCAGATGACTCATGACCCATTCTGCAGCTCATGGCTTGTATGCACTAATCCACGAGACCACACTACTGTGCTTTTTTTTTTTTTTTTTGGTTGGTCGTGGGGCCTGAACTCTGGGCCTGGGTGCTGTCCCTCAGCTCTTCAGTCCAAGGCTAGCACTCTACCACTTGAGCCACAGAACCACCTCTGGCTTTTTCTCTTTATGTGGTACTGCAGAACCAAACCCAGGGCCTCATGCATGCCAGGCAAGCACTCTACCACTAACCACCTTCCCAACCAAGTCTAAGTTCTTGCGAGACATGCAGTTGAATAGCCATGAAGCATGAAGCCAGGCATGGTAGTGCATGCCTATTATCCTAGCAATCACAAAACTGATGCAGAAAGATCACAAGTTTCTGGACAGTCTAGGCTAAAAGCTGCAGAGTCAGGCAGAAAACTGAGCAACTCCCTCCTCTAGGCATTTCATTTTTTCTGCCTGTTTAAGTGAGGATGTTGCAGTACATACCCATCCCTCAGGAGGGCGGTGTGCATGAATTAGCTATCTCCTGTGAAGTGCTGGGGTTGCCCTGGCATGCAGAGGGTCTCAGGGTTGACGGGGCTCTGTCTTCTGCAGGTGGGCTCCTTTGGGAATGGCACAGTACTCAGGAATGAAACGGATGTGGAGCTGGTAGTGTTCCTGAGCTGTTTCCACAGCTTCGGGGAAGAGGCCAAGATCTACCAAGCCATCAAACTCATGCAGAGGAGCGTATGGTGTTCCAAGGACCTGCTGGCCCTTGGGCTCAGAGACGCGAGGATGGAAGAAGTCCCCAGCGCTCTGGTGCTCACCATGGAGCCCATCAATGTCACCATCATGCCTGCCTTCAGGGCTCTGGGTAAGGGGAAGAGAAGCTTGCCACTCACACCCCTGCCCTCCACAGGAGACTTGAAACCCCTTCACTTGTCACATAAACACTTTCATTCCTTCCTTGTGCCCAAGTCCTGGGCTGGGGCTGAATGGCTGCCGTGCAGGCAGAGCTCACATGCATGGCGATCAATACACATGGTGATCAGTGCTTGGGGGTGAGGGTGAGAATGAGGAGTCCTAGTTAGTAGCTCTTTCTTCCAATTACCCAACACAAAAGCCAGAAGTGGAGGTGTGGCTCAAGTGGTAGAGAACCAGCCTGGGACCAAAAACAAAAAAAGCCAAGTGAGAGTGTGAGACCCTGAGTTCAAGCCCTAGTAACAGCACAAAAAAAGTGGGGTGTCCTAGGCAATTGCAGAAAGAACATTCAGGAAGGAGCTGTATGGAAAGGGGGAGGGGTTAAATTCATATATCTCCAGTGCTATATTTTATCCACCAACTTCCCACTGGTCATTAGCACTGACAGCTGCTTTCTGGACCAGTTTTGTTCACGCTCAGGCAGAGAGTCCTAGGTGTTTGAGTTAAGCAGTGTTAGTCAGCTTTCTAGCACTGTGACAAAATTACCTGAGAAAATCAACTTACAGAGCTGAAAGCTCATGTTTCCAGTCGTTTCAGTCTGTGGCCGCATCACACTTTAGAAGCATAGAACATCATGATGGAAGCACATGGGAGAGGAAGCCTCTTCACCCTCTGGGAGAAGAAGCTTGTTCACCCTCCAGGAAGGAAACCAGTGTCTCTGTAAACTCCTTCAAGAGCCTTCCCCAAATAACCTAACTTCCTTCCACTAGGCCCCGCCTCTTAAAAATACCACCACCTCCTCGTAGGCTGGCAACCAAGCATGAGCCTCTTACTATTATTGTATCTATTATCATATGGACTTTGGAGGATATTTAACAGCCAAACCATAATAGGGTTTGTCTCAGGTGCCATCTCCTTACTCACCATAGGACCACCTTGAGTTGTTCAATGAGGACTATGTAAGAGACAGGATTGTCTGCCCTAGAAAGCAGGAAAATCACGTGTCCCTTGGCCTGCCTCCTTCCTATGACTATTGAGAGGATCTAATTAATCACCTAGAAAGAGATCAAAGATCGATGCAGTAGCCGGATGCTGGTGGCTCCTGCCTATAATCCTAGCTACTCAGGAGGCTGAGATCTGAGGATCGAGGTTCAAAGCCAGCCCGGGCAGGAAAGTCCATGAGACTCTTATCTCCAATTAAAAAAAAAAAACAAAAACGAGAAAACCAGAAGTGGTGCTGTGGCTCAAGTGGTAGAGCACCAGCCTTGAGCTGAAGAGCTGAGGGACAGCCCCCAGGTCCAGAGTTCAAACCCCATCACTGACCAAAAAAAAAGATGCAGGAAACTGGAAAGGTTTGCGGGGAGGCCATTCCTAGAATGGCCTTAGGAAAGAAAAGACCAAAGCTGGCTTTCCAGAGTAAAGTAATCTCACAAGCAAGGCAGAGCCTTAGTGTCTGAGAACGTGAGATCTCAAGTCTCCCTGGAGAGCTTGTCCCCAATAAATGAGTGGACTCTCCTCCAAGGAGAGTTATTCCCTGACTGAGCCCCTTGACGGGCTTCCTGAATCCCCAGCGTCTGTCTTTGCTCGCTCCCACTTCAGGGCCTTCAGTTCAGCCACCCACTGAGGTCTACGTGCGTCTGATCCAGGCTTGTAGGTACCCTGGAAACTTCTCCCCCTCCTTTGGTGAACTTCAGAGAAACTTTGTGAAACATCGACCGACGAAGCTGAAATCCCTCCTGCGCCTGGTGAAACATTGGTATTATCAGGTAAGGGAACCGCCAGGAATGAGGGCAGGAAGGAGACTGGGAGGAGGGAGAGAAGGAGAGGAAGAGTTAGATTTCATTCTCGGAAACTGCATGGAGGGAAATGAATCCAAGTATTGGTGGCACCTCTAAATCCCAGCTACTTAGAAGGCAGAGTTCAAAACCAACCCAGGCAAAAGTAAACCCCCCCTTCTCCCCCTCCCCTGCCAAGCTCAGCAAACAAGCTGGGTATGGTCATTCACACCTCTACTCACAACTACTAGGGAAGCACAGGTAGGAGGATTTCAGTTATTTTCAGACTTTATCTGAAGATAACTAAAAAAGCAAAAAGAGCGGGTATGCTGATAGCTCACACCTATAATCTTAGCTACTCAGGAGGCTGAGATCTGAGGACCACAGTTCAAAGCCAGCCCAGGCAGGAAAGTCTGTGAGATTCTTTTCTTTTCTCCAATTAACTACCAGTGGCGCTGTGGCTCAAAATAATAGAGCACCAGCCTTGAGCAAAAGAGCTCAGGGACTATACTCAGGCCCTGAGTTCAAGTCCCATAAGTGAAAAAAGCAAAAAGGGCTGGGGGCCTGGCTCAAGTGGTAAAGTGCCTGCCTAGCAAGTGTGAGCTTATATTGAATTCAAATCCCAGTATCATCCAAAGATGGGACTCCCGGGGCTGGGAAGGTGGCTCAGTGGTAGAGTGCTTGCCTTGCATGCCTGAGGTCCTGGGTTCGATTCCTCAGCACCACATAAGTAAAAAGAAAAAAGCTGGAAGTGGCTCTGTGGCTCAAGTGGCTTGAGCTGAAGAGCTGAGGGACAGCGCCCAGGCCCAGAGTTCAGGCCTCACGACCGGACCCCACCCCAAAAAAAAGATATGGAAACAAAGATGGGACTCCCTAGACCAGTTGCCCCCCAACAAATAAGTGGGCTGTGTTCCTAAGTATCATGGTCATTCCTGAGTGAATAAGTTCATGGCAAGTTTTTGTTTTTGTTTTTGTTTTTTGCCAGTCCTGGGGCTAGAACTCTAGACTAGAGCACTGTCTTTGAGCCTTTTTTGCTCAAGGCTAGCACTCTACCACTTGAGCCACTACACCACTTCTGGCTTTTTTCTGTGTATGTGGTACTGAGGAATCAAACCCAGGGCTTCACACATGCGAATCAAGCACTCTACCACTAAGCCACATTCCCAGTCCCAATAACTTTTTTTTAAATTTCACACCCAGCACCCACACAGAATCAAATAGAGTTCAAAATGTCCCGATGAAGGTTTTTGTTTCTTTGGTTGGTTGGTTTCTATTCTATTTTTTGTCAAATCCTAAAATCATAGTCACAAATTAATGTCACCAGTAGAGACCGAAGTAGGCTATAAAACCAGCTAGGTGCTGGTGGCTCACACCTATAATCCTAGCTACTCAGGAGACTGAGATCTGAGACTCACAGTTCAAAGCCAGCCCCTGGCAGGAAACTCTGTGAGACTCTTACCTCCAGTAAACTGCCAAAAGATCTAGAAGTGGAGCTGTGGCTCAAGTCATAGAACTCAGGGACAGTACCTAGGCCATGAGTTCAAGCCCCAGGAACCAGCACACACACAAAAAGAAAGCAAGAAAGAAAGGAAGGAAGGAAGGAAGGAAGGAAGGAAGGAAGGAAGGAAGGAAGGAAGGAAGGAAGGAAGGAAGGAAGGAGAAAAACATAAACAAGAATCAGCATCACAAATAACATAGGTAAAAAATTGGATTTTCCATCTTCTGGCCCAGTACCATCTTTATATATAATCTTGGATCTCTCTGTCTGTCTGTCTGTCTCTCTCCATCTATTTCCACAGTATGTGAAAGCCAAATGCCCCAGGGCCAATCTGCCCCCTCTCTACGCCCTAGAACTACTGACAGTCTATGCCTGGGAAGAAGGAACAAAGGAGGAAAACAATTTCCGGTTGGAGGAAGGCCTCACCACGGTGATGGAGTTGCTCCAGGAATATGAACTCATCTGCATCCATTGGACTAAGTTCTACTCACTTCAGAACCCAATCATTGGTGACTGTGTCAGAAAACAGCTCAAAAAACAGAGGTACCTGCCCAACACGTCCCTTTGTGGGGGAAGATAGAGACATAGAGAGGGAGAGAGAGAGAGGGGGAGAGACAGACAGACAGGCAAGCAGGCTTCAGGGAAGCCTAGTTTAGAGTTTTATGGATCAACTTTATTAAGGACACAGTAAAGCTACCATAGCAGCTAGTGTTGAAATCTCCAAAGGAGAGTGTCTCAAGTTTGCAGCCTGTCAAGATCCTGGGGAAGGGAGCTTTCAGATGCTTTGTGCCTTTTTCTTGTTCCCAAAGCTAATCACTACTTTTCATTTTTAGCCCTCTTGCTCTCAGAAGACCATATCAGTGCTTTGTATTTTCTGTGCTGGTCCTGGGCTAGAACTCAGGACCTAATGCTGTCCCTAAGCTTCTCTTTGCTCAGGGCTAGCTCTCTGTATTTGAGCCACAGCACCACTTCCAGCTCTTTCTGAGTCATTTATTGGAGATAAGAATCTCACAGACTTTCCTGCCCAGGCTGGCTTCAAACTATGATCCTCAGATCTCAGCCTCCTGAGTAGCTAGGATTACAGGTGTGAGCCACCAGCACCTAGCTGCTGAGTCTTTTTATACAAGAGAAAAAAAAACAGGGATCCTACTAAAGGATTTATTATAAAGATATCCAGAAAATTGTAGTTAGAAATACCTTCGGCAACCTACAGACATTCTCTACTTGTTTCCTCTCCTTACTCTTCTCTTTTTTTCTCTCTCCTCTCTTTCTTTCCCTTCCTTCTCTCTACTTCTCCCAATCTCCCTCTCTCTCTTTCCTTCTTCCTCTCCTGACTCTCCCTACTTGTTCTTTGCTCCTCACTGCCTGGGCTTTTCTACCCAGGGTGGCTTTAAACCATGATCCTCAGATCTCAGTTTCCTGAGTAGCTAGGATTACAGGTGTGAGCCACCAGCACCAGGCTTAAAAATAATGCTTAGCCAGCTCAGGAGGCTGAGATCTGAGAATCGCAATTCAAAGCCCTTCAAAGCCAGCCCAGGCAGGAACGTCCTTAAGACTCAGAAAACTGGAAGTGGCTCTGTGGCTCAAGTGGCTTGAGCTGAAGAGCTGACGGACAATGCCCAGGCCCAGAGTTCAAGCCCCACGACCTACAAAATAATAATAATAATGATGATGATGATTATTTATTTATTCAATATTTATATAAAGGAGAGACGCTTGGAGGCTGACTAACCTCTTCTTGTGGAGGCAGGAGAACTAGAATGGCTGAGAGCCCCCAGCTACTGGCTGTGAGAACTTAGGGAAGTCTATGCCTCAGTTTCCTTACCTGTAAAATGGGGATAAGAACAAGAACAATCGGGCTGGGAAGTTGGCTCAGTGGTAGAGTGCTTGCCCCGCATGCATGAGGCCCTGGGTTCGATTCCTCAGCACCACATAAGCAGAAAAAAGCCAGAAATGGCACAGTGGCTCAAGTGGTAGAGCGTTAGCCTTGAGCTGAAGAGCTGAGGGACAGTGCCCAGGCCCAGAGTTCAGACCCCACAACCAGACCCCCCCCCCAAAAAAAGAACAAGAACAATTGTAATAATTGTCCCTCACCTTACAGAATTGTAAAGGTCAAACTTGATCTACATGGTTTGAAGTTCATCGAAGCCAGTTACTGATGGCTCACCCCTGTCATCCTAGCTACTCAGAAGGCTGTGATCTGAGTTTCAAAGCCAGCCCAAGCAAAAAAAAGTCCATAAGACTCATCTCCAGTGAACCACCAGAAAACTAGAAGTGGCATTGTGACTTGACTTAAAGTAGTAAAGTGCTAGCCTTGAGAAAAAATAGCTCAGGGACAGTGCCCAGGCCCTGAGTTCAAGCCCCATGACAAGAAAGAATGAAAGAAAGAAAGAAAGAGGAAGAAAAGAAAGAAAGAAAGAAAGAAAGAAAGAAAGAAAGAAAGAAAGAAAGAAAGAAAGAAAGAAAGAAAGAAAGAAAGAGGAAGGAAAGAAAGAAAGAAAGAAAGAGGGCTGGGAAGGTGGCTCAGTGGTAGAGCGCTTGCCTTGCATGCCTGAGGCCCTGGGTTCGATTCCTCAGCACCACATAAGCAAAAAGAAAAAAGCCGGAAGTGGCGCTGTGGCTCAAGTGGTAGAGCGCTAGCCTTGAGCTGAAGAGCTGAGGGCCAGTGCCCAGGCCCAGAGTTCAGGCCCACGACCGAACCCAAAAAAAGAAAAGAAAAGAAAAGAAAAGAAAGAAAGAAAGTAAGTCATCCTTGTTACGCTTATCCAAAGACACTTAGCACTCAATCTGACCTTGTATTTGAACAGCCCACTGTCCCTTTGAAAGGTCACCTCCCCAAATGCACATCTGTTATTGCTCCAATATGCCTCTTGAGGCCTCCCACTCCCCACTCCAAGAATTCTTGGAAATCTCATTGGCTTCATCCTCTTGCTCTTCAGCAATGTCTCTGGGCCCTCCTGGACCGCCAGCTCTGGGCTGCATAAAAGGTTGCTGAGAGGTATCTCCTGGCTTGAGCCTCCAAGCAGGAAGAAGCCTGGGCACCTCTCTTCCTGTGTTACAGGCCCATCATCCTGGACCCAGCAGACCCCACCCACAATGTGGCAGGTGGCTACAGATGGGACATAGTGGCTCAGAGGGCCAGCCAGTGCCTGAAACAGGACTGTTGCTATGACATCAGGGCGAGCCCGGTCCCCAGCTGGACTGTGCAGGTAATGACACTTCCCCACACTGTCAGGGGCTTGACGCTCTGAATACGATGACTGCAGGGTTGGCTTCTCCGTTTCTGTACTGATGACTTGCAGCTCGGAGGCAGGCAGCTTGAGGCCCTACTGCACCATCATCAATTCTGTGAGCTTCAGAAAATTCTTGAGATCTGTTTTATTTTTGTGCTGGCACTGAGATTTGAACTCAGGGCATGGGCACCATACCTTAGCTTTTTCATTCAAGGCTAATTCTCAAGGACTTCCTTGAGAATCTTCCAACTGCAATCCTCAGATCTCAGCCTCCTGAATTGCTAGGATAAACAGGCACGAGCTACCAGCCCCAAGCATTCTTGGGCTCTCTAACTTTACATTCTTCTTCTCTTTTTCCTTCTTTTTTCCCATTACCAACTGGAAAAGCAGTTGAATATTCCTGATCATTCTTTTTTTTTTAGGGGGGGGGGCCTGGTCGTGGAGCCTGAACTCTGGGCCTGGGGGCTGTCCCTCAGCTCTTCAACTCAAGACTAGCACTCTACCACTTGAGCCACAGTGCCACTTCCGGCTTTTTTCTTTTTGCTTATGTGGTGCTGAGGAATCGAACCCAGGGCCTCAGGCATGCAAGGCAAGTACTCTACCACTGAGCCACCTTCCCAGCCCTCCTGATCATTCTTTACATGAGCTAAACCCAGCCATGTCAATCCTATCAGCTCGGGTGCCAACCCTCCACTTGGAGTTGGAGGCTGGAGGAGGGGGAGGCCCAAGAACCTCACTGTAGGCTACTAAGAAACAATTTCATTAAATGCATTTGCACAAAACTGCTAGGAAAACTATCAGAGATACTTCTAGGTAAGGCAAAACACCCAGCAGATGAAAAAACTAATATTATATAATATTACATGATATATATTATATAATATATTATGTATTATATTATATATTATTATATAATCAGATATTATAATATCAGAGGCTTTATAAGGAATGGATTGCAAGTAGAGGACCCACTAACCAAATGAAGCCTATGAAAAATATGTCTCTAGATTTTTCTAGAATACAAAAAACCATCATGCATGGGGCTGGGAAGGGGGCTTAGTGGTAGAGTGCTGGCCTAGCTTGCATGAAGCCCTGGGTTCTATTCCTCAGTACCACATAAACAGAGAAAGCCAGAAGTGGTGCTATGGCTCAAGTGGTACAGTGCTAGCCTTGAGCAAAAAAAGCTCAAAGATAGTGCCCTGGCCCAGAGTTCAAGCCCCAGGACTGGCAAAAAAAAATCATGCAAAGACTGAACCCAAGACTTTGTGTCTGCAAAGCCAACATTCTAATGCTTGAGTTACAATCCCCAGTCCTTTGGTTTTTGAGACAGGATCTTCTGGCTACCTTTGCCTCTGCTGGTCTTGAACTCATCATCCTCCTGCCCCTCCTCCTCCTGACTGCTGAGATAGTCTTTTTTTTTTTTTTTGTCGGTCGTGGGGCTTGAACTCTGGGCTAGGGCGCTGTCCCTACGCTCTTCAGCTCAAGGCGAGCACTCTACCACTTGAGCCACAGCGCTACTTCCGGTTTTCTAGTCGTATATTGGAGATAAGAGTCTCACGGACTTTCCTGGCTTTGAACCTTGATCCTCAGATCTCAGCCTCCTGAGTAGCTAGGATTACAGGCGTGAGCCACCAGTGTCTGGCTATTTTTTTCTTTTTCTCTTTCTTTTTCTTTTGAGACAGTTTCTCCAAATAGAGCCTGGCCTTGAATTCACTATGTAGCCCAGGCTTCCCTCAAAGTCACAATCCTCCTATCTTAGCTTCCAGAGTGCTGGGGTTACAGGCATTGCCATCCTGCCTGGTGTTGCCAAGATTTTTGTCTTGAAATAGCAGAAGGCTTTGAAATGCTCGGATGCTGTTTCTGTGGCTGTGGCAAAAATGACACAGGTGAAGGAAATGTGTGTGTGTGTGTGTGTGTGTGTGTGTGTGTGTGTGCCAGAGCAGTGTGAGCTTAGCCTCTCTCTCTCTCCCCCCCATCCCACCTCTCTCCCCCCCACCACCCCCCTTCTGCAGACAGCACCAGACATCCAGGTGACAGTAAAGCAGTGGGGTCACTCGGACTTGATCCTCTGGGTGAACCCTTATGAATCCATCAAGAAAGTTAAAGAGAGAATCTGCCGGAGCCGAGGCTACTTGGGCCTGCAGCGCCTGTCCTTCCAGGAGCCCGGCAGCGAGCCGCAGGTACTCAGCAGTCACTGCTCCTTGGCCTTTTATGGAATCTTCTGCAGCACCCACATCTGCCTGCTGGACACAGTCTCCCCAGAGTTTCAGGTGTTTGTGAAGAACCCGGATGGTGAGAGCCACGCCTACGCCGTCCACCCCTACCACCCCATTCAGAGCCTGAAGCAACAGATCGAAGACCGACTGGGGCTGGGCAGCGGGCAGCAGCAGCTGGAATTCCGGGGTCACGTGCTGCAGGACTGGTTTGATTTTGCCTACTATGGCATTCAAGACAGCGTCACCCTCACCCTCTCCAAGAAGAAGGCGGAAAAAGCTCCAATTCCACGCGCCTAGTTTCCTCTAGAAAGTTCCTGTGCATCCCTGCGATGTCATCCTGAACTCATCCTCTCCTCTATCATTCCGGTTCTGTGCTGGGGCAGCCCTACGGCTCCACTGACTTTATTAATAGTTGTCCAGCCATGCCAGTAGGGCACCCAAAGAGATGTGAGACCAAATAGACAAATGGACAATGGCCAGACCCTATGTACCAGTAGAATTCTGGTCTATAACCTTCTTTAGCAACTACCTGAGAAAGCAAACCACAGCCTTCCCAAGAACCAACCAGAAAGCAAGTCAGGACTCAGTCAACTGCTTCTGGCTTCTCTAATTCCTCACTTCATCACTTCCAATTTAGGGCCAATCAAGGGAGACAAGTGAGCTCTCTAAACCTATCCCAAAGCAGCCCTCTCCTGGCTGGCCCACCTCCAACCTCCCTCCATCAACTCCATCAACTCCCTCCTTCCCTTGTTTGGACTGACTAGTGAGCTTTCTGTTCACCCTGCCTGGTCTTGGACTCTTGGTCAAATGTAAGGGATGGTGGTTGGTTCCTTCCAAGGTTTTTGTTTGTTTCTTTTCTTTTCTTTTCTTTGGTGGCTCAATCTTTTTTTTTTTAATTGTGAAAAATTGTGTATAGAGGGATTACAATTACATGGGCAAGATAATGAGTACATTTCTTATCAAGCATTGTTGCCTCCTCCTTTGTTTCCCTTTCCCATTCCCTTCTCATCTCCCACCCCCACCCCGCCCTCCCCCTTCCAAGATGTGAATAAAGAGCCCCTGTCTCATTTGGATGGTCCATTTCCATGAGTACTAATGCTGTTCTAATGGTTTTTACTTAATCATTTTGAGCCTCTCAACTCTGGAGATTTGAAGATGGAAGGAAACTGAAATAAAAAAGAGGCCAAGTCTGAGAGGCTGAGGTTGAGGCAGTTTAAAAACTCCCCTTAGGGGCTGGGAATGTGTCTCAGTGGTAGAGTGCTTGCCTTTCATGCATGAGGCCCTGGGTTCGATTCCTTACCACCACATAAGCAGAAAAAGCTGAAAGTGGCACTGTGGCTCAAGTGATAGAGCACTAGCCTTGAGCTGTAGAGCTGAGGGACAGCGCCCAGGCCCAGAGTTCAGGCCCCATAACCAACAAATAAATAAACAAAAATGAAAACTCCCCTCAATGGGGTAGGAATGTGCTTTAGTGTACCTTAGTGGTAGAATACATGAAGCCCTGAGTTCAATTCCTCAGTACAGCATAAACAGAAAAAGCCAGAAGTGGCACTGTAGCTCAAGTGGTAGAGTGCTAGCCTGGAGCAAAAGAAGCTCAGAGACAGTGTCCAGCCCTGAGTTCAAGCCCCAGGACTAGCAAAAAAAGAAAAGAAAAGAAACCCACGGGCCAGGAGCTAGTAGTTCACAACTGCAATTTTAGGCTGAGATCTTAAGATCACAGGCCAAAGCCAGCCCAGACAAACAAATCTGAGGGATGTGTGTATGTGTACACATGTGTGTGCATGCGTGCATTCATGTATTGGCATGCACATATGCCAGTCCTGCGGCTTGAACTCAGGGAATGAGTGCTGTCCCTGAGCTTTTTTTTTTTTCTCAAGGCTAGCACTCTGCCACTTGAACCGCAGCACCCCCCTCTCCTTTTTTTTTGGTGGTTAACTGGAGATATTCTTATCTTGTGAATATTTCACCTTCGAATTGGAATCCTCAGATTTCAGATCTCCTGAATAGCTAGGATTAGGCATGAGATGTGTACACCAGGCTCCGGTAACCAGCAAAAAGCCAAAAGTGGAAGTGGCTCAAGTGGTAGAACACCAATTTCTAGTAAAAAAAAACAAAACAAAAAAAAAATCCAGGCTAGAACCTGGCCCCTGAGTTCAAGTCCCATTATCAGCACACACAAAAAGCAAAACTCAACTCTTGAAACACGCACACAAACAGTATGTAATAGCCTACAGACTTTAAAAACATCTTTATTATCAAAGTACATCGTGTGGTAGAGTTTATGCCAATTGACGAAAGCTTCCCTTTCGCCCTCACGTTTGAGTACTGCAAGACAGCTCCTGGTCTCAGAGTAAGAACTACAATTCCCACAATGCCCCAGGCCAACAGCTCGCACCGGGTCACGTGGGAGTAACCACGCCGGAAAGCGTCCTCCACAATCCTTTGCGGCCGTCCATGATGGCGGCGCCCAGTGGCCCCTTGAGCGACGCAGAGAGCAGCAGCAGCAGCAGCAGCAGCGATGGAGAGGAGTTGGCGCGGTGCCGCGAGGCGGCGATGCCAGCCTGGGGCCTGGAGCAGCACCCGCGGGGAGCAGAGAAACCAAGAGCTGGTAGGGAATTGGGTTCGGTGAGACGTCCCTGAAGACGCGGGTTCTTCACCCGAGGGGCTCGCTCGCTGCGAAGGCCGCCACCTCCTCAGCGATCTGCAACGCCCCGAACGCTCACCTCCCTCCTTGCCTCGTCTCTGAGCTGCGCCCACGGCATACTGGCTTTTTATCATTCCTCACCTTTCTATAAGGCTCCCCTCCCCGGCGCTCCTCACCACTCTTCCCTGCTTCGTTTTTGGGTTTGGTTTCTCATAAACTTACCCCTCCTCCATCGCATGTGCCCTTTACTGGGTCTGTCATGAGTCTCTACCCATGAGGACGGGGATACTTTTGTCTCAGTTGCTCAGTACACCTGGTTATGATTGATAGGCGTTAGGTATTTGATTGTGTGAGACATGCAGACTGAGCATCTCGAACGTTTCGCTTAAAAAAAAAAAAAATGTGATCATGGACCCATTGCAACAATGAGACGTACAAGTCGTTATGTCGAAAACGAACTTTACAACTTTGGTGGGGGGGGGGGGGGAGGTAGAGGATGGGATGGGATGGGAAGAGAAGGGGAAACAAAGGAGGAGGCTACAATGCTTGATAAGAAATGTACTCATTATCTTGCCCATGTAATTGTAACCCCTCTGTACAGTATTTCCAAAATAAAATAATTTTAAAAAATGATCAGCACAAAAAGCCACCCTTTTTCTTCTTCCACAGCACTTAGCCCACAGGCAGGCATGGAGTAGGCACTCAGTAAATTGAGGGCCGGGCATAGTGGTTCACACTTGTAATCTCAGCTGCTTGGGAGGTGAAGATAGAGGCTAGCCAAGGTAAAAGTGTGAGAACCCCCCCCCCCCCATCCCCACCCCAATCTGAAAAAAACAAAACAAAAAACCTCTAAAAAAGGGTTGGGGGCATAGCTTAAGTGCTTTCCTAACAAGCATGAGACCATGAGTTCAAAACCCTGGTACCACCAAAATTTTTTAAAGTTCCATAACATTAAACTTGGACTTAACCTGTTCTACCTGATGATGAAGGGGCCTGGGTCCTCACCCCAGTGCTGTTTCAGGTAGCCACTAGACTCTGGCCAACATTAACTCTCCTTGACTCTTCTTCGTCTTCTGTAAAACGGAAATGGTGGCCAAATCTCCAGTGGGCTTTGGGAAGATCCACCAAGTCATAGGAATCACTTGAAATGCTGCCTGGCACTCACAGTTGTTTTTGTTCTCATATTCTAACTCCCATAAATGCTTCAATGTTCATCTTCCACAGATGCTGCAGGTAACCAGTTGCCAACCTGTCGGCCAAGCCTCAGGTACTGTGGGCTTTGGGTAGCAGCTTCATGCATTCATTCAACAAATATCCACCCCCGTGTATATCTAGTGCTAGGTGAGACCCTGGGATATCAGAAGAGAACAAGACTCATTTATAGTCCTTGTCCTCATGGGGGACAGCTGCTGATCACACAGGAAGTAACACGCTTTTGTGTGTGTTGTAGACACAAGGTGGATGAGCACGAGCAAGATGGCAATGAGCTGCAGACTACCCCTGAGTTCCGAGCCCACGTAGCCAAGAAATTGGGAGCCCTGCTGGACAGGTGAGGCGATTACCTCTCTGCTCTTACGCAAGCAGGAATTGGCATACGTAAGCTGTGACTTCTTGCTGTGTATCCCATATATCCTGTAGTGACCTCCGGTCCTATCTAGTGCCTAAGCCCCATGGCCTTTACCCTGCCTGAGCCTGCTACCATGAGAACAGGAGGAGTCCTGGGAAGCAAAAGCTTGCTCGCACCACAAGAGGACAAGGATGGCCAGACAGAATCTACCATTCTTCCTGTATGCCAGGCACAAAAGCCTGTTCTCTGCTGGCCATTGCCAGCACAGGGTGAGGGTAGTATGGGAAAGGGCTGGCTTAGGAAGGCCAACCTGTGCTCTGGGAAGGAAGGTTCATCTGTCCTTTAGGATAGGAATTTCAGGTGGAACATGGTCCCAAATTTTCATCTTCCTTTCCAAGCCTGCCTGGGCTCTGTTGATGAGGCATGAAGGTAGACCATTCTTAAAACCCCTTGGGGCTGGGAAGGTGGCTCAGTGGTAGAGCACTTGCCTTGCATGCATGAGGCCCTGGGTTCGATTCCTCAGCACCACATAAGCAAAAAGAAAAAAGCCGGAAGTGGCGCTGTGGCTCAAGTGGTAGAGTGCCAGCCTTGAGCTGAAGAGCTGAGGGACAGCTCCCAGGCCCAGAGTTCAGGCCCCACGACCGGACCCAAAAAAAAAAAACCAAAACAACAACAACAACAAAAAATGCTGCCAATACTACTACCTGCCACAATAAAATACCATGAGGGCTTATACACACAAGAGATATCTTCCTCGTGTTTTAAAGACTGAGGAGTACAGGATCAGGACACCTATAAACAACGCCTAGTGAAGGCCTCTTTGTCTTTCTCTTCTACAGCCAATGCCTCACCGTGTCCCTACATGGTAGAGGGGACAGGGAGTCTTTGTCATACGTCTTGTTCATAAAGGCTCCACCCCTGACTTACCTCCTAACACCATCACCTTGAAACTTATATTTTGACATAGAAACTTAAGAGGGACACAGACATTCGACCTTACTACTAGCTCAGCATATGGCTTTATAAAAAAGGGAGTCTAGCCAGGTGTGGCAAAGTGAGACTCTGTCTGAAAAAAAAGCTGAAAACAAAACAACTTAGAGGTGTGTCTTAAGTGGTAAATTACTTGTTTAGCAAACCCCAGTACCCTAAAAAACAGTGCTCCTTTGTGCAAACCCAGTGTTGCACTGAGTGCCTTTCCTACCTTCCCTCCATCTATGAGCTGAGTGTCACCAAAGAACCTAGAGAGGGAGGAGCAAAGCCATCCAGGCACCAGTCTCTGTTCTGACACAGGGTTGGTGCCAGTTCTTAGGGACATTTGGTTGTAGAAGATGGGGTGAGGAGTGGGGAAGGTAACTGAGGCTTGAACTTAGGGCCAAGGTATGCCAACTTGGGTTTTTTAAACTAGTACTCAGAAGGCTGAGGCAAGAGATGTGCCAGTTTAAGGCCAGCCTAAGCTCAATAACAAGTCCTTGTTTGAAAAGAAAAAGAAAGAAACATGTCTCCCCTGTTCCCAAGGCTGACCTCTGGACCCCCTTCTCTGAACTGGTCATATTTCCCTTTACATACTTGCTGCTAGGAAGCTCAGAGCAAAATCTGTGCTCTTTCACATTTCATGTTTCTGGCTCTTTCTACCCCTCGCACCATATTCCTTTTGCAGCTCAAAATTCTTCAATACTTTCTAGAATAAAGGCATTTAAACAAATGAGGCGCTGCAGTTTGAGTGGGCAGGGATTGTTGGGCAGGTTAGCGGGATTGGATTTAGGATCGTCTGTGTGTGTAGTATGTATGTGTGTATGCATGTATGTGTGTATGCATGCATGTATGTGTGTATGCATGCATGTATGTATGTGTGCCCAATACCCTCCACTTTAAAGCTTTTTTTTTTTTTTAATTTAAAATCACATTTGATTTTCACTGTTACCCTGCATGTCGTGCTGAGTCTGCCCGGTCCTCTCCCCTTAGCTCCATTACCATCTCAGAAGTGGTGACAGAGCCCAGGAAAGCTGAGAGGCAGAAAGTGGCCCGGGAGGATGATGGTGAGTAGCTGCACCCTTCATGATAGCTGGCGTTTGGCATGTGCCGGTGGCCTATGTGGGGCTCGAGGTGCAGCTGGGCCATTCCTGCCCAGAGATGCCCACCCAGTGCTGCCCCTCCCACCACCCAGGGAACTGAGGCCCTGAGAACCCCCAGCCGCCTTCTGCCTCCAAGCCCCCTCCTTCCAACTCAGGCCTCTGCCCAGCTCTTTAGCCTCTTTGGAGGCTGGCTTAGGTAGAGACTCAACCCCAGGTTTCCAAAGTCCTCAGAGGACCTGCCGTCCCTTTAGCCCCCTACCTTCTGCCCTCGGTGGTAGGTTGGGCAGACCTCACGGAGACCTCAGCCCTAAAGCAGAGTTCCTTTGGGACAGTGGCAGGCAGCCCCAGGCCCAGGAGAGCAGGGGAGCAGGGTCTCCCCAACTGACTGTCGCTGTGGATCCTAGGCTTCCGCCTCTTCTTCACATCCGTCCCTGGAGGCCCTGAGGAAGAAGCTTCTCCCCGACCCCAAAAGCGAAGACCCCCCAGCTCCAGGTAAGGAGCCCACCCTCTCCCTCCTTTGTTGTTTCTGTTCTGTTGTGGCCAATCTCTTGGAATAACCAAGCAAACCCCAGTCAGGTCTAGACCCGATGGGTCTGAAGTCACTGAATAAGTAATGACCAGCAGGAGGGGTTAGGTTTTCACTGCTTTCCAAGCACCTTCCTAGGCTAGATTCCTCCTTTTCTGTTGGCATCCTGTAATATCTCTGTTAAGACCCCTGTTTTACAGATACCAAGGGTCAGAGACCTATCACTCGATGAGGTCACGTGGCTGGTGGGCGGGGCCGTGGAGTGCAGGCCCACCCTCCCTGTTCAGCCTGAGTCCTCACTGTCTTCCTCTGGGCTTGGCTGAGGGAGGCTAGGAAGGGGAAGCCTTGAACCATCCTGACTGTGGCTGCCTGTCCCCCAAGCAGCAGCGAGGACAGCGATGAAGAGTGGCAGCGGTGCCAGGAGGCAGCCGTGTCCGTGTCAGACATTCTCCGGGAGTCCGCCATCCACGGCCCTGTCAAGGCGGAGGAGGAGTCCAAGCAGAAGAAAAGGAAGTTGAAAAAGAAAGCCACAATGGTGGCCAACAGTGACTGGGCCGTGGCCACCACCCCCACCAGTGGGCCCCAAGGCCAAAAGCAGGAAAAGGAATCAGGCAAGGCCAATGGGGACCAGGTGGCACTTGAGACCCAAAAGAAGAAAAAGGCCAAGAAGAAAAAGGCCAAGTCTTCCCCATGCCCAGCAAACTGACCCCACGCTGCAGGTGCCGCCGCCACCAGCTGCAAGGACCTGGCACCCCTGGAGGAGGAGGCATCTCCAGGCCACGCCTCCCTCCAAGGTCCAGGCCGGGACCTGCCGCTGCCACTCCACAAGGTCCCAATTGTGACTATGGTCTGTGCAAAGTCCCCATAAAGACATGGGAAAGAGATGCCTCAGGAAGACCTGTGCTTCTACGACATTCCAGGCCAAGTGGTAAAGCATCCAATATCGTCTGAGGGGAACAAAGTAAAGGAAGACCTCTCTTCTCCCAGGCCTCCTCAGCCTGGTGTGGAAAAGACCCAGAGAAACTTCCGTACATCTCCCTCAGCCACACACATTTGAAAAGACATTGCCTGGGAAAAAGAGAGCTTTTCTTCCTTTCCCCAGTTTTTCAGAATATCCTTTTTCTATATGTATGAATACGCAGAATGTGTCTAAGCCAATTAGCTTTTCAGAACTGGTCTGAGGGGTGGGAGGTAGCTCAGGGGTACAAGGCCCTGGTTCAACCAATAACATCAGGGGATGACAAAGAAAGAGAAAGTAAATTGTGAGAGATTAGAATGACTTGGATGCTGCCTTCCTGTCAATGCTCAATCTCTCTTTTTTTTTTTTTTTTGGGGGGGGGGGAGTCCTAGGACTTGAATTCAGCACCTGGGCACTGTCCCTGAGCTGCTTTTTACTCAAGGCTAGCACTCTAGCACTTGAAGCCACAGCACCACTTCCAGCTTTTTCTGAATATTTTATTGGAGGTAAGACTCTCGCAGACTTTCCTGTTTGGGGTGGCTCTGAACTGTGGTCCTCAGATTTCAGCCTCCCAAGTAGCTAGGATAACAGATCTAAGCCTCTGGCACCAGCTCTTTTTTTTAATTTTTGTTGTTTTTTTTCTTGTCACTGCAAGGATTATATTCAGGACCTTGTTCTCCAGTCCTTGAGCTGCATCTCAAGTCCTTTCTTTTTGTTTGTTTCTCAGATAGGGTCTCATGCTTTTGCCCAGTCTGGCTTCAGACTGTGATCCTCCACCTCCAGAGTGGCTGGGATTACAGGTGTGTGTGTGCACACACTTGGCTTATTTTTTTTTTTTTTTTGGAACAGTCTCAATGTGTAATTCACATTGGCCTTGAACTCATAATCCTGTACCTCAGCTTCCCAATACTGAGGTTATTAGTATGCACCATCAATGTTAAATCTTAACATTGTTAAATAACATACTTGGGGTCCTGCCCACGCCCTTGAGATATACTCCACTCCAGCTTCAGTACTTCAGGAAGCATCACAGCACTGGGACTAGGCCTTGTGCATCCGGGGTCTTCTAAACGCAGTAGAAGTTCAAGGCTAAGGTAATTCTGGCAGCATCCCCTCACCTCAGGTTCAGCAGAGCTTGAGAAGTAGGTGGGTGTAAACAGGTTTGGCTGGAGCCTGTTTCTCTGCACCTCAGTCCCCTGCCCCAATTCAGCCACCCTCTTCCTGCCCAAACCCCATCATGTACTCCTAGACAAGCAGGAACTTTCTCTGCATTTCTCACTGACTTTGCTAATAGTTAAATAATTGTACAGGCTCACCCATAACTGGCTGTATGCTGCAAGGGGACGCAGGTTCTCAGTGGCAGCCCTGAGAGATGAGGTCACGCGTACCCGGGGGTCTCACGGCTGCTCCTTCCAGGGCCACTCAGAACTTGAGGCTCCTCAGGGTGGCTGCTGGCTCCCTGCCCCCAGTCCTGAGCCAGCCACATTCCCAAGCTTCTGAACCTCAGTCCAGGGCATGCAGTTGCTCCCCACCTTCTTGTCCTCCGTCCACCTCGGTTCTGCCAGCTCCCAGGCCTTGCTACTCCTGAGCTCTGTGGTTTCCTGCCAGTCTTGGGGTCCAGAGACCAGAAGAGCTGCTACCCTGGGCCTGGACCTTGGATGAGTGGGCCTGACCTTTCTAGAAGGGGCAAAGGTAGCAACTTGGCATGAGAAGGCATGATGGTCAAGAGGAACAAATAATCAGGAAAATGGCCCTAGAATAAGCTCAGGATACGGGAGGCCAAAAGAACCCAGCCTGCTTTCCTGATAGCCCAAGTTCCCCAGTAGCTGGGCATTTGAACACCAGCCCTTGGCACACAGTAGCCACTTGGATAGCTAGAAGGACCGCAGCAGTGGTGTCAGGTGACTGTGTTGGTCTCTGGCTTCACAGTTCAGTGAGTCTGGTGTTGCAAGAAATGTGGCGCACCAGTGGGAGGCTGAGATCTAAGGATCGCAGTTTGAAGCCAGCCAGGAGAGTCCATGAAACTCTTATCTCCAATGAACCACCAGAGAACCGGAAGGGGCACTGTGGTTTAAATGGTAGAGTGCTAGCCTGAGCAAGAAAATCTCAGGAACAGCACCCAGGCCCAGAGTTCAAGCCCCAGGACTGGCACACAAAAAAAAAAAAAGAAGAAAAAATGTGGCTGCCAGCAATCCCTCAAGACCCCAGGGTTCATTGTAGACTGAGGCAGGGGGCTCCAGAGTCGAAGGCTGGCCCCTCCTGTGTTCTAAGTCATAAGGTCTTATCCTGAGCAGCAGGCATTGTCCTTCCAGAAAGAGGCTCTGCCTCCCTGTTTTCCACAGTCTCCCCTCTTGCTCAGCCAATACCGCCCTCCTCAGCAGGGGGCCTCTGGGAACTGTCCCTTTCTCATGCTGGCAGAGTGGCAGAGGGACCACGTGGCAGCAGATGCATGGCAGGCCCCAGTGTCTTCCAGGTGAATGGCAGTGGTCCTCATCACCCCCCAGGCAGGCTCCAGGGCCTGAGCCCTGGGAGGCGGTTGCCATGGTTACTGGGAGGAGGAGGCCATCTGTGTGGAGATGAAGGTCTCGATGACCCCGTGGTTGGATGGTAGCAGGTGGCCATGGCCGTTGGTGGCATCGGAGCTCTGATACAACACTAGGCTGCTGGAGGACACTGCGGAGAGAAACCGAGCTGCTGGCTGGCTGGCTGGACCCGCCCACCTGTCCATCCCTAGGGGTACTCAGACCTCGCCTAAACCCCAGAAGATCAACCAACCCCAAAGTCAAGCCTCTACCTTCATGTCTTAAGGGGACCCTCCCAGCTAGGCTCTGGGGCCACCAGGTGTGGCTTACCTCAGGATAGTTTGGAAGTTTGGGGCAGTATTGGGTTTTGAACTCACAGCTTTGCACTTGTGAGTCAGGTGCTCTACCACTTGAGCCCTGTCTCCATCCTTTTTGTTTTAGTTTTTTCAGGTGAGGTCTTGTATTTTTGCCCAGGACTGGCCTTGGACTGTGACCCTCCTACCAGTGCCTAACACATAACTAGGATTAAAGGTGGGAGACACTGAGCTCATAGAAGGCTTTGAATTTTTTTTTTCTTGCCAGTCCTGGGGCTTGAACTCAGGGCCTGGGCACTGTCCCTAAGCTTCTTTTGCTCAAGGCTAGTACTCTACCGCTTGAACCACAGCACCACCTCTGGCTTTTTTCTATTTATGTGGTACTGAGGAATTGAACCCAAGGCTTCATGCATGCTAGGCAAGCACTGTACCACTCGGCCACATTCCCAACCCAAGGCTCTGGATTTTTAAATGCTAGCCATTCAAAGAATAATCAGTCCTGAGCCCAGCCAAACCAGGCCCATCCATGAATTATTTCCGGCCTGCAGTAAGCCAAGTTAACTTCCTATTGTCTCAGCTGTGTCTCCCAGGTACTTCTTTTCTTCCCTCCACTGAGTGAAGGAGCTATGCCTGCAAATCCAGCTCCATTCTGCAGCGCACTCACTGCTTGGCACCTCATGGGTGCAAGGGCCGTGCCTGGGAGGCAGGAAGTACTGCCCCCATCTGTCCCTCCCAGGATACAGCAAGATGAGGGCGGCTCACCTGTGGGGCTGGCACTGAGCCGGTGGGCAGGCTGCAGGTGCTGGATGCTACCAGGGTCCTGGCTGGGGATGTGGATGGTGGTGGCTGGAGATGCCGGGGCATGCAGCCCAGACTCGCTGGAGGCCTCAGTGTCCGAGGTGAAGACCTGGGGACCAAAGCAAATCCCTGAGTTCCTGGGGCATGGAGTAGGGGCTTTGGGCGGGGCTGCCTGAGGACCAGGGCCTTACCTGCTTGGTGGGCGTGAGGCTGGCCAGGGCACTCAGGTTGGTGGTGTCGGTAATGAGCATGGTCTGGGGCAGGAGGCCTGTGTGCGTGTACTGAGCCACCTCTGGCTTGTGGCTGTAGAGGGCTGGCCGGGAGGAAGGGTGACAGAGGACAGACATGACACCCTGGACCAGGTGCCTGGCTGAAATGGCTTGATGGGCCAGGGTCCCAAGGAGGAATGGCCCACTCAGCTACAAGGGACCACCTACAGCTCCCTTTGTCTCCCAGAAGTCACAGGTAGGAAAGGGAATGAGAGGCATCGGTGCTGTGGTACTAAGCACAATTTTATACCAAAAACTTGGGTTTCTGAACTAAGTGAAGGTGCCATACTAAGTGTAGCCCCTTAGCATACTAGACATGAGCAGTGTTGTGCTTGGTACAAGTACTCCTTGTACTAAGCACAGAGGTTACTGTACTGAGTTCAGGCTCTTGTAATAAATACTGGTGCTGTTGGATTAAGTACAGGTGATGCACTAAGCATAAGTGCTACAGTACTAATTGCTTACACTTGTACTAAGCACAGGGCCTGTTGTACTAAGTGCAAGTACTTGCTGTACTAAACACGGGCTATACTAAACACAGAGGTTACTGTACTAAGTGTAGGCTCAGATATTGTACTAAGTGCAGGTCCTGCTTTACTAAGTAACAGGTGATACACTAAGCGTGAGTGCTACAGTACTAAGTGCTGATGCTATTGTACTAAGCACAGTCCCTTTTGTACAGGTGATACACTAAGTTCAGATACTGTTTACACCACAGGCCTCAGAAGAAAGGCACGAGGCCCCCATCAGCATGTGCAGGTCAGAGAGCAACAATTACTCCACCTCCAGACACCTCTAACATGTAACCCTACCTTTCCGCCCTGCAAAGGTATAGACCCCCTCACACCCTGCCTTAGAACCACATCTCCCCAGAGCCGGTAGGAGCATAATGTGGAGGCACAGACTGGTCTGCCCACCCTTGTCCCAGCGCTGAATCCCCGCAAGATCTGAACCCAAAGCGGCGGGAAGGTTGGCCCTGGGCCTCCCTCAGCCAGGACTGAGTCTCTGTGGCGGGGAGTCCTCTGCTGCCAAGCACAGGCTGGCATGGGAATACACAGCCCAGCCCGTGTTCATAGCAGTGCACATGTCCTCACCGCTGCCCATCCCCACACACACACGGCCAAGTGGTGGCCCACAGACATCTGTCACAGAGCCCCAGAGACCACACTTCCTGCCCTGCGTGCTCCCATAGCCAACCTCTACCTCCCCCACACACACGCCCACCCCCAGCGCAGGGTCAGGGGTACTCACCGTGGGGGCTCTGCAGCTGAGCCATGGTGGCCATGAAGGGACTCTGGGCCATGTGGCTCTGCACGGGGGGCATGAGAGGCTGCTGGTAGGAAGGGTGCAACGGCTGGGAGAACTGGACGGGCTGCAGGGTGGTCAGGCTGCTGCCCATGCTGTTGATGACTGGTACGCTCTGTGCCTGAGTGGAGGCCAGGCCTGGGGCAGGAGAGGCAGGAGTCAGCCAAGCCTCCTTCTATAACGACCCACCCCCCACATACACACATACACACACTATCTCCCCAGACCCAGCCCAGATCCCTGAGGCGGGAGGGGGTGAGAGGAGGCACCATCCGTTCTTCCCAGAGCCCAGGGGTTAGAAGAAGGAGTGGGAGGGGGGCGAACTACACACACAACCTGAGATGGGCCTGATAGTCCATGCCTGTAATCCCAGCTATGGAAGAGCAGAGATGGAGATGGAGGGAAGATCTAGCTCTGATGTCAGCCCCAGGCAAAAATCCATAATAGACCGGGCGCTGGTGGCTCATGCCTGTAATACTAGCTACTCAGGAGGCTGAGATCTGACAATTGTGGTTCAAAGCCAGCCCAGGCAGGAAAGTCCCTGAAACTTTTTGTGTGTTGGGAGGGGGAGGGGTCTTGAACTCTGGGCCTGGGCTCTTCGGCTCAAGGCGAGCGCTCTACCACTTGAGCCACAGCGCCACTTCCAGTTTTCTGAGTGGTTTATTGGAGAGAAGAGTCTCGCGGGCTTCCTGCCTAGGTTGGCTTTGAACCATGATCCTCAGATCTCAGCTTCCTGAGTAGCTAGGATTACAGGTATGAACCACCAGTGCCTGGCTCCTGAAACTCTTATCTCCAGAAAACCAGAAGTGGTGTTGTGGCTCAAGTGGTAGAGCCTTGAGCTGAAGAGCTAGTGCTCAGGCCCATGACCAACAACAAAAAATCCATAATAATAACTAAAGCAAAAAGGACTGAGCTTCAAGTGATAGAGTGCCTGCCTGGCAAGCACTAGACCTAGAGTTCAACTCTCAGTACCACCTGATACAGAGAAACAGCCCTGGCTCATAACTTCCCTTCTCTCAGCCTTTAGCTTATTATCTGGGCTGGTGATTAGTTCTCTGGGGTTGTCAAAGGATTCCCTGAAGCCTCGGGGTTTCAGAGTGTACAAATATCCTGGGCTTAGCTTTGTTCTCCTCACTTCTTCCTTCCTACAACTCCCTATATTTAACACTGAGTGGCTTTATTGTTTTGTTTTGTTTTGGTGAGCTCCTCTTCTGGCTTTTATTTTGGTGATTAATTGGAGGTAAGAATTTCAGACTTTTCCCAGCTTCAAATCATGATCCTCAGATCTCAGCCTCCTGGATTACAGGAGTAAGCCATTGGCACCCAGCCCTGAGCAATATTTCTTTAAAAAAACACACACACACAGTATTTTCACAATAAAAAAGACAATAAAAATAAATAAACACACACACACACAAAAACAAACTAGAAAATGCCAGGCGCACTGGTGGCTCACGCCTGTAATCCTAACTACTCAGGAGGCTGAGATCTGAGGATTGCAGTTTAAAGCCAGCCCTGGCAGGAAAGTCCAGGAGACTCTTATCTCTAATTAACCACCTGAAAACCAGAAAAAGTGGCAAAAAAAAAAAAACAACTAAAAAACATCAATTCCCCCTCTTCACCACTTTACCTGACTAATTTTCCCACAGACTTCTTGCCTTCTAAGATGTCCTGTCATCTCTATATTGTGTTCATTGCCTACTTCAACACTTGGAACCCTTAAGGTTTTGATCTGATTCTTCACATATCACTGATACAGACAGGTGCTTGGCCAAGAATAGACTCTACTCAGAAAACAGGTAGTGCATAGCCTGTAATCCTAGCTGCTCAAGAGGCCAAGGAAGGAAAAGAAAGGTCTAATGCTGGGACTGGGCAAAAGCACGAGACCCTATCTGAAAAGCAAACTTAAAAAAGCAAAAGGACTGAACACGGCTCAAGTGGTAACAAGTACAAGGTCCTGAGTTTTATCCCCAATACCAAAAGAAGAAAGGAAGGAGAGAGAAAAACAGGTGTTGTACACAAGAATGATTGAGTCCTGAGGGCTCTTTCTACTTCCTAGCTTCCATGAGCCCTCCCAGAACGCTTCCAGCCCTGACAGCTCACCAATGACCAGGGTCGAGGCACCGGTGTTGGTGAATGTGGGCCCCAGAGAAGCAGGCTCCCCGGGTCCAATGGTCATGACCCCGGGAAGCGAGGCCATGATGAGGTTCTGGGGCTGCTGGTTGAGACTTGGAGATGTCTGCTCCAAGCTGTGCAGTGCGGTCAGGGTGCTGACGGGAGGCAGGGAGCCTCCAGCGGCTGAGACCTGCGAGGGAGAAGCCAAGCTGAGTCAAGGGGAGGAGGGCCTCCCATCACCCCCACAACCCTTAGGACCACTTGAGAGCCTCCAGACATGGAAAACAGGCTCCCCGCCAAGAGGGGACACTCACCAGTTTGGCTTCGGTGCTCAGCAGGCTGTGGCTGGGCTCCAGACCTGTGGGGGACACTTGGTGCAAGGGTGTGGACACGGTCACTAAAGGAGCACCGCTGCTGGATGGCACCTCTGCCGCCTCGCTGCTCGCAGGCTGTCCGTAGCGCACACCTGTGGTAGAGACAGCATCCAGCCTCAGCGCCTCCTCCACGGCCTTACCCCATAGACCTCCTTGCCTCATATCATGCTGCTATGCTCAGGCCACACACCCACCTTTCCTCCCATAGCCAACACTGAGCTGTTACCTTGTTGGCTCAAGGCCCACACCCCAAGCTGGCTGTGCCCTGGTCCCTCCAGGATACTAGGACTGCTTAGTGCTGGCAAGAAGGTGCTCTATCAAACACAGTGTGGCCAGGTGCTAGTGGCTCACGCCTGGAATCCTAGCTACTCAAGAGACTGAGATCTGAGGACTGAGATTCAAAGCCAGCCCAGGAAGGAAAGTCTGTGAGCCTCTTATCTCCAACTAACCACCAAAAAGCTGGACGTGGAGCTGTGGCTCAAAGTGGTAGAGTGCTAGCCTTGAGCACAAAAGCTCAGGAATGGGGCTCAGGTCCTGAGTTCAAGCCCTATGACAGCCAAAAAGAAAAAAAGCTACAACAACAAACCAGCACAGTATAAACCAGCACTGTGGCTCAAACCTGTAATCCCAGCTATTTGGGATGCAGACACTGGAGGACTGTGGTTCAAGATCACCCTGAGCATAAAAGTTCACAAGACTCCATCTCAACAAATAGCTAGCCATTGTGGCCTGTGCCTGATATCCAAGCTACTGGGGGAAGCAAGCACAATGGTAGGAACAGTGGCACACACCAGTTATCCCCAGTGACACTGGGAAAGCACAAACAGGAGCATCACAGTCAGTGCCAGGGCCTGGGTATAAAGTGAGCTTGTTTTTAGTATCTGGGAGTTCCTGAGATCAATCTCCTGCAGACACCAAGGGAGGAACTTACACAACATGAACTGAATTCCACTGAACTTTGTTGCACGAGACTGCATGGGTTGGGTGGAAATTGGTTGAACGGTACCAAACTTCAATGAAGTGGGAGAGTTTGCAGGAGTGGGTAGAGTGGGTGAGGCAGAGCATGGGGTGGAGAAGAGTGGAGTGGAGGGAAGGGACTGTGGTCAGCGGAGTGAGTGGATTGAACTGGATGAGTGGGCATGAAGGAATGGACAGAATGCATGCAGTAGGGTGGAGCAGGTAGAAGAGGAGGAGACTACCATAGAATGCAACCAAACGTGCTGACAGACGAGGGTGGTGCCTGACAGTGGGGCCTCTTACCTACCCTCTGTCCCCTCCACATAGCCTCTGTCCCCTCCGCCTGCCCTCTGTCCCTCTGTCCCCTCTACCCACTCGCTGTCCCCTCCAGCTCCCAGCCCAGCCTTCCCCCCCCCCCCCCAGCACACTCACCGTGGACCTTGCTGGGGGAAAGAGCAGATGGGGGCAGGCCAGGGGAGCTGTGGGCCGGCAGTGTCGTCCCAGGGCCTGGCCCTGGAGGGGGCCCGCTGTAAGTGTCCATGGCCAGCTTGTGCCGAAAGGCTTCTTCCTTGCGTCGGTTGGCAAACCAGTTGTAGACGCGCACCTCCGTGACAAGGTTGGAGCCCAGTCCCTGGGCCTGCGAGGGGGACACGCCCCTCTGGATGCACTCCGCCCTGCAGAGATGGCCACCTGTGAACCTCCAAACCGGGCACGGAAGAGCCCTCGCCTGGGCAAGGGAGGTGGAGCCTGAGAGATGGAGCTCCGCCCAAATGTCTGAGGCTGGCAGATCTGGCTTCTAACCCCAGTTCTTCTGTGTGACCTTAGACAAAGTGACCTAACCGCTCTGATCTCAGCTGTATATGAACAGCATCACCATCAGATTGTCATTCACCTCAGCCCTCACCAAACCAGCACTCCAGCCATGTACCTATTGCATTCCTCCACCAACGTCTCACGTTCCTCCTTGCTGGGGTTCTTCTGCCTCTCGTAGGCCTGGAACAGGATCTGCTGGGACGCTGGGCCCCACTTGAAACGGTTCCTCCGCCCCTTCTTGGTCGGCAGCTCATCCCCTGTGGGCTCTTCGATCAGCCCACCCTGCCCTGCGTGGGTGAACTCTGGAGGAGAGAGAGCTATAAGTGGGGCACTGGCCACACCCACCTCCCCACATCAGCTCACTTGACCGAGACCTTGATTCTCTCTCATTCCAGTGCTACCCCAGAGGAGCCTGCAGCTAAACCTAGAAATCATCTGAACCAGTGATAACACACACACACCACACAACATACAAGCCATCCCTTTCTTAACCCGTGACTAAGGCAGACATCACTAATCGACCCCTGCACACTTTTCTAACAGAGCCAAGCTAGACGCTCTCGATTCTCAATACAAGATTCCAGGTAAGCAGTAGCATAAGTTCAAGCTTGGAGTATTTACTCTCCCCATTTTACTAGTAAGGAAGGTGAAACTCAAGGAGGTTACACATCTCCCCAACATCTAGGGGGTACACAGTAGAGCATTAACTTGAACCCTGTCTCCTGGGAAGATTCTGAGATATTATCAATTTTCTAGACTTGGAAATTGGACTTTCTAGGAAGAAAAAGACCTAGCCAGCCCTCATTAGCTAGTTGGTCCTCTGCAGATGATCCCTGAGAAAATCGCCTAAGGAATGGGGGAGACCCCAAAGCCAAGCCTTATCCCAGGCTAGAAGCTCACCTGTGCAGCCGTGGCTCATTCCCACCTACCCACCCACATGGCCTCTGAGACTCTATCTTGCCATCTACCTACTTCTGTGCTTGGCTCCAGGATGGCAGGCAGGGACAGGACCCAAGACCTGCAGTGAAAGACACTCCAGACTTAGCACTCCAGACTTAGTATATCCTCCCTAGCTGGGCACTGATGGTGGCTCATACCTGTAATCCTAGCTACTCAGGTGGCTGAGATCTCAATATTATTGTTCGAAGCCAGCCCAGGGAAAGAAAGTCTATGAGACTCTTATCTCTAGTTAACCACTAAAAAAAGCCATAAGTGGAGCTGTGGCTCAAAAGGCAGAAAAGCTCAGAGACAGTGCCCAGGCCCTGATTTCAAACCCCAGTATCCACACATGCATACACACGTACACTACCCCAGCAAGGACATCAAAATCAAGGAAATCCTAAGAAACCATAACAATCAAAGGGCCTTAGGAGACAAAACATTAAAATAAAGCAAGTCCACCCCGATGGGATCCAGAAACAGAAAAAAGACCTTAGAGAAAAGCTAAGTATATTAATAATATATTAATGTTGGTTTGGCAATTGTGACAGATGTAGCCAGTACAGACTGGGTAGGCGTAGTATATGAAAATTTTCAGGAATTGGAGGCATAGCTCAAATATCAGTGTGTGCATGCATGCATGTGCACACACACACACACACACACACACACACACACACACGCCTAGTCTAAAGGCCATGCTTGGCACCAGAACCCTCCTGAGACCGCTGCCTCCCTAGGTAGACCAGATGTCTCTTGTCCACAATCAGTTCATCACTTAGAAATATTTGTATTGCTAGGCACTAGTGGCTCACGCCTGTCAACCTAACTACTCAGGAGGCTGAGATCTGAGGATCACGGTTCCAAGCCAGCCTGGGCAGGAAACTCTGTGAGACTCTTACCTCTAATAAACCACTAAAACCCGGAAGTGGCACTGTGGCTCAAACAGTAGAGCACTTGCTTTGAGCTGAAGAGCACAGGGACAGCGCCCAAGCCCAGAGTTCAAGTCCCACAACCGACAGAAAGAAAGAAAGAAAAGAAACACTTTATTTTCTGTATTAGGCCTACCTAGCACATAGCAGGCGCTCAGTAAACACCATCCCACAAAAATGTAAGTCTCAGTGTCTTGTGCAGAGCAAGTGAGCAATGTTGCTGGAGTCCCACGGGCAGAGGCCCAGGCCCTGCCAGGGAGGACACAGGCTGGGGTGGTTACTTACGCTGAGCCACCTCTCGCTGCTTGCGGACGTACCAGGTGTACAACGCCGCTCGCTTCTGCGTCTTCATGGGGGTGCCCTTGTTGAGGTGCTGCGACAGATGGGACTGGTTGAGGCCGGTGGTATCCACCACCTCTCGCTGAGGGATGTTATGTTGCTGTAGGTAGGATTTGACCATCTTTGCCACACGCCATGGGTCCTCCCTGGGAGAAGGCAAGGACAGAGCCTGCTCAGTGGACACCCACTGGCCCTGTTGACCCTGCTGGGGTCCTGGGCCAGCTAGGGAAGGGATGGAGACTGTGGATGAAAGCAGGCATGGAGCCCTGGGCTGAGGAATAGGGAGGACCGGTCACCCACACTGGACACAAGCCCAGGTGCCCATAGATAGAGGGTCACACGTAGACAGGGAGGATCAGACAGGAGGACGATCACACCGGAAGTACAAACCAGATGGGGAGGGGTGTCTCCTTCATACCTCCTCTAAAGTTCCTCCCCTCTTCCTGTCTGGGGATAGTAAATATGTCTATCTACTGTGAGAAACTAAACGCAACTCTCTCACCAAGAGCACTGGCAAAGTATGTCCCTGATAAATATACAAATGGTACCGGGGGCCAGTGGCTCACATCGGTCATCCTAGCAACTCAAAAGGCTGGGATCTGAGGATTATAGTTCGAAGCCAGCCTAGGCAGGAAAGTCCATGAGACTATTATCTCCAGTTAACCACCAGAAAACTGGAAGTGGTGCTCTCTCAAAATGGTAGACCACTAGCCTTGAGCGCAAAGCTCGAGACAGAGCCCAGGCCCTGAGTTCAAGCCCCATGACCAAAAAAATCAATTGATTAATTAATTAATTTAATTTAATAACTACACAAATTAGTGGATAGATGGATGGAGGTGGATGGGTGGGTGGATGGATGGGTGGATAAATGAGTGGATAAATGGGCAGAGTATAGTCTATCTGGTATACCTGTTGTACTGTTGCCCTGCTGTTTCAAGGATTGCTTCCAACTCTCCACCCTCCTGCTTCAGCCTCCTCAGTGCTGGGATTATAGGTATTCTTTACCACACCTGGTTCCTCTCTTTACTTCTAATTTCCTGCCAGAAGCAGCACCACAGTGACACCAGACAGGCCCTCCTACCCGGCCCTTCCCTTGTCTCTTGCCTGGCACCCTGGGCAAAGCCGTTCTGCTATGGGAGGACACCAACTATTATCAGCTTTGTCCCCTCTCTGACTTCCTTTTATCTTTATCAGATGAGAAAAGAAGGTGGGGTAGATCAATTTAAATTGGTCGGCAGTAGATAAAGTCACACAGGAGTATTTGCTGCCCTGGGCCAGCCATTTAAGCCTTGCAGTAACTTGAGGAATCAGAGCTGACTCAGATACTCAGGCCACAGGACAGAACACTGAGGCTCAGAAGGGTGAAGCAGGTGACCCAAGGTGATGTAGTAAGGTCTCAAGAATATGTGTGTAGGGGCTGGGAAGGTGGCTTGGTGGTAGAGTGCTTGCCTTGCAAGCCTGAGGCCCTGGGTTCGATTCCTCAGTACCACATAAGCAAAAAGAAAAAAGCCAGAAGTGGAGCTGTGGCTCAAGTGGTAGAGCGCTAGCCTTGAGCTGAAGAGCTGAGGGACAGCGCCCAGGCCCAGAGTTCAGGCCCCACGACCAGACAAAAAAAAATAAAAAAGAATATGTGTGTAGCCAGGAACTGGTGGCTCATGCCTGTAATCCTCGCTACTCAAGAGGCTGAGATCTGAAGACCACAGTTCAAAGCCAGCCTTGTAAGGGAAGTCTGTGAGACTCTCATCTCCAGTGAACCACTAAAACACCGGAAGTGTGGCTGTGGCTCAGGTGGTAGAGCACTTGCCTTGAGCATAGAAGCTCAAGGACAGTGCCTAGGTCCAGAGTTCAAGCTCCAGGACCAGCGCGCAAGTACAGCTCCAGCTCCACCTCCCCTTTCTCTGAGAAGTGCCAGGCAGGACTAGGAGGGAAGGGCGGTTCAAAGTCCAGGTCTGGGCTTTGGGCAAACATGTTTATCTGATGGGCCTTTCTCCTCTCCTGAGGACACTCCCGCCCCTTCCTTCTCTCCAGGGAGTGTGAGTCACCTTTCCTTGTACAGAGTCTCTGGGAATCAAGAGGCCCAGAACTGAAGACTGACTATGTGCTCAGCTCCCTCTCTACGTCTTATCCTCCTCCCCCCCAAAAAAATCACAGAGGACAAAGACCAGCACATCCTCACACGCCCCATTACTGGCTCAATATAATCATCATAAAGTGGCAGATGCCACCATCTCGCATGTGCCTACCCTGTGTCTGTCCTGTGGGCTAATCTGTGGGCCTGCATTATCACCTTTTCCATTTTCTTCAGAGGCTTGGCCTCTGCTAATAGCTTGGAAAGGGACAGAGCTGTGTTTAGAACCCAGGCAGACTGGACACCCAGAGTGATGGCAGATACTCCATCTTACACCCAATACTACTGTCTTCCTGGGGCTCACCCGTGCTCTCGTGTTGCTTGATGGGAGGATCAGAGAGCTTTAATTTGGGGGTTTGAGCTGTTCAGAGACCAGGAGGACCCACAAAGGACTTTCACACAGAAAAGGGGCCCCAGGTCCCAGGTACTCCTATTAGCTGGAGGAATCCTAGGCATTCACTCTGTGGAAAGCAGACATCAGGAAAGATGGCTGTGAGGAGCAGGAACAGCATATGCAAAGGCCCTGAGTGGGATCCACTTATGAATATGTGCGTAGGGAAAGACAGCAAAGTCAGAGCAGAGTAGAGCAAAGTGAGGGAGAGAGAGAGGTCAGGGAAGAGATCAGGGAATGAGGCAGGGCTGAGAAGATGGAAGCAAGGCAGAGAATTTGGATGTCTTTCATTGTCTACTTAAGGAAACTGAGGCAGGGGAAGAAAAAGAACTCATCTAGTATCATACAGTAGACTCAGTGGGAAGATGTAGAGAAAAATATCTCCAGTTAGTGCAATGGGACTTCAAACTTGGGGACTGGGGGGGGGGGGCAGCACAGAAGACCTGAGACTTCCCATCTCTTATAGGCTGGCCATCTTTCCACTTGGTGCCCCACCTCCTCCTGCCTCAACCTCCCCACCTGACAAAAAAGGCCATCATCCAGGGTCCTCCCCATCCCCAGTCGCTTCCTTGGGGGACTCTTGCCCCTGCTCAGAGGCTAAAGGCCCCACGTTTTTCCCCCCTCTAGGGTGTTCACAGATCTCTTTTGTTACCTGAACAATAAGTAACCCAGGTAGTTAGTTATCAACTCCACAGGGACAAGGAGCTGGTTGATAATTTATAGCAACATCTCAAATTTAAATGGAAAGTAAATAGCATGCTGTTAGCATTAAAGAAAACCCAATTGGTGGGAGGGGAGCACTTAGAGCCTCCTCCGGCTAAGGGCACCTCATTCTCTCCCTTACCCCTTCTCCCCGCTGCTCGGGGACCCTCTCCCCTTCTGTTTGGCTTCCCTCCCTCCACCCTCCCCGGCTCTCCATCTCTTCCTCACTACCTATCCTCTGATCCTCATCTCTAGGTCTTTCTGCTGGTCCCCAAGGAGTACTTTGACCTCTGCTCCCCCCTTCCGTCAAAGGCTGTGGACCAAGCCTCCCCCTGCCTTACCACCCCACCAGAGGGGCTGCTGATCAAGAGTCCAGCCAGGTAAGAAGGAAGGCCCTTGGGCCCTGAGTCTTTAGTCTCACCCCTAAAGAAAACCTCCAGTCCCACCTGAAGCAGGTCAGGCCCAGCCCCGCCCTGTCCTGGTTACCCTGGCTGTAGGTCTGGCATGGTCTGGCTCTTTGCCCCACCCCTGAAATGAGGCGGCCTTTTGCCCTCCTCTTCCTGCCAAGTCAGGGGGCCTGACTGCTCCCCTGCCCCCTTCCCTAGGGCCTTATGAGTCTCCTGGACTTCTGGGAAGGCTAGATCCACTCCCGCCCCCCCCCCCACAACCCCCCATTCTAGGTCTGAATCAGGACCTTGGACAGAATTGAGGCATGCCCCCTCCCAGACCCCCCACAACCACCTCCACCAGGCAAAACATCTGAGCATTCCTTTTAAATCCTCTACCCCCCCCTTGGACCCCCCACCCCAGCCAGAGCTCCCCTCCCATTCTAAGCCTCAGTTTCTCCCTTGGGTGAAGCTAAATTATCCCCAGCTTCCCCTTAGGGCTCATCTCAATTGCCATGATGGGAAATTAGACAAGGAATCATCTAACAGTAGTAAGAATTCTCAGGCAGGTGGAGGTTGGGGGACATGCTAGGGCACCTTCTTTTGGAGGGGTACTCCCTGTAGCTGGCCCCCCCAACTCACCCTTCTCCCCCAGACTAGCATGCCCCCCCTTCTCCACCCCCACTGGGTGGGAGGTTGTTTGGCCCAGGTCTCACCAGGCCACTGGGCCTTACAAGTTAATGATCACAGGCCTTATCAGAGCCTTTTGCCATTTATAAATTTATAAAACAAAAGAGAAATAATAAAGTGCATGGGTAATTAGTAACCAGGTCAGTTCTTCTGAGGAGAGGGGAGACCTGGAGCTCCGGGACCCACCCAGTTCTCCTGGAGATGGGAAGGCAGACAGCAGATGGGGAGACCCTCAGCTCCCCCACTTCTCCCCCAAATGGAGTAAGGCCTCTCTTGCCAGCCTGTAGCCAGGTTGGGGGATTCTTGGTGGGGCAGGAACCCAAGGTTCCATCTACCTCAGGTAAGAAAGTCTCGGGCTTTCCCAACCAAATGTCTGAGGTCCTGGAAGATCAGAGAAGCTACCCCACCCCACCAAACCCCAGGTTTGGTCCAAGCCACCACTCTGCGCGCTTAGCAGGGAAATTACTTAGAGAAGTTCAAATGGCCAAAGGTTTTCCCCTCACCCTCTGGCTCTCTAAGGCGTTTGAATTGTGGCTCTCCCGACTCTGTCCTCCATCGGAAGGTACCTCTGGGGCCTGACCTATTTCCTAGGGACTGGACTGGAGGCCACCGGTCCATCCAGGTTGTAGACTTGGCCGACAGACAGGTTACAAGCTCCGGCCCCCAGCCTCCAGATCAAGGACCCTCTGGAGTTCACCTGGAACTTGTCCCCCTGTCACCCCTCCAACCCCTGCTCCCTCGGCTAAGCTGAAGGCCTGGCTGGAGTGGAGATGGCCACCAGCGAGCGTAGGCCCCTTGTGGGCTGGGCTGGGGGTGAGGGGGGGGTCCTTACTGCAGAAGGGTCTCCACCACGGCTTTCTGGTGGGCTGCCTCTTCGGGGCTGAGGGTCTCCAGCTCTTTGAGGATGGGTGGCGTGAAGTCTTCCCCATCGTCGTCCGTGTCGTCTTCCGAGCCCCGGGTCTCCCCTAGCCCATTGGGCAGCTCGGCCAGCTCTCCTCGGCTCCCTCCGCTGGACGCCCCCTTGTCCAGGGGGGCGTCCGCAGCCAGCAGGTAGGGACCCGGCTCCCCTAAGGCCTGGATCAGCGCCTCTTTGCTGAGCCCCGATTCCAGCAGGGCCGCCAGGAGCTCGCTCTGCAGCTGGCTCAGTTTCGACACCATGGCTGTTGCGGACACCCGGCCACGCGGCCACCCAGCCACCGCCTCCCCCACCCGCCACCCGGCCGCCCGGCGATCAGGAACCAAGCTCCAGGTACCCACCACCACCCCGATCCCCCCCCACTAGCCAAGCCCTAGTGGGCACCCCCCAACCCCCCAATCCTGGCCCCAGAGGCCAGTGAATCAGGGCCCCTGCCTGCTCTGTTTACATTGGAGCTGGGGAAAATTCTCCAAGGTTCATATTTATCCGTGTGCTTAGTGAGGGGACTGAACTTTGGACTTCAGCCCTGCAAAGTACAGGCCTAGCGTCTAGCCGGCAGGAGCCCCGGGGAGCCATGGCCTTCCATGGGGGTGGGCAGAGGGGAGGGTGGGGGAGGTGGGATCGGGGTCAGGGGGGCAACTGGACGCCAGGGAGCCCATCTGTGCACGAAATGCTAGGTCTCACTCCCTCCCCTCCAAGGGGCCTAGGAGAGGGGGTCAGGCCCAGGCCTGTGAACCCCTGAAGTTTGTTTCTTAGGAGAAACAGAAGCACCAGGAAGTTGTAGGCCTCTGGGCCAGTTCTCAAGGGCAGAGCTAGGTCAAGTCCATTTCAGGACCTTCTCATCCCATTCCACATCTCCTTCCAGGAAAAAAACAAAAAACACGTCAATCTGCTGTGGGCCAGGGACTGGCTAGGTCCGTAATGTGCGGAAGTTGATGGGAAGTCTACCTGCAAGCGGAAATCCAGGCTCAGATCCCCAGGTGTGATTTTTTTTTTCTTTTTTCCAGTGTGAGGCTTGAACTCTGGGCCTGGGTGCTGTCCCTGAGCACTTCAGCTCAAGATGAAAACTCTACCATTTGAGCCACAGTGCTCAAACCATCAGTTTTCTGATGGTTAATTGGAGGTAAGAGTCTCATGGACTTTCCTTCCCCGGGCTGGCTTTGAACCTTGATCCTCAGATCTCAGCCTCCTGAGTGGCTAGGATTACAGGTGTGAGCCACCAGAGCCTGGCTCCAGGTGATAATTTTAAGAGGTACCAAAAAGTCATGGAGACCAATACAACTTTTTTTTTTTAATTTACCCAATATAGTTTTTAACATTAAAGTTCATGCCAAGCCTTTTAGAATGAAAAGATGATGGTCCATACAAAAACACCCTGTACCACATGAGCCACAGCACCACTTCTGGCTTTTCCTGTTTATGCTATACTGAGGAATTGAACCCAGGGCTTCACGTATACTAGGCAAGCACTCTCCACTAAGCCACATTCCCAGCCCCATCTGTATGAAATTTTGTATGTGAATATTCAGAGCTGCATCATCCACCACAACCTAAATGAAGAGAAAGCCATGAGCACGCCCCCTAGGGGTGAATGAGGGATAACCATGCAACAGTAGGTCATTCTTCTGTTTAAAAAAAAAAAAAAAGGCAGGCTAAGTGGCTGATACCAGGCATCCTAGCTACTCAGGAGGCTGAGATGTGAGGATCGTGGTTCCAAGCCATCCCAAGCAGAAAATTCCCTGAGAAACTCTCATCTGTAAAAAAAAAAAATGTAAGTCTTTGGTCCAAATGGTACAGGACCAGCAGCTTTCTTTCTTTATTTTATTTTTCAGTCGTGGGGCCCGAACTCTGGGCCTGGGCGCTGTCCCTCAGCTCTTCAGCTCAAGGCTAGCGCTCTACAACTTGAGCCACAGCGCCACTTCTGGCTTTTTCTGCTTATGTGGTGCTGAGGAATCAAACCCAGGGCCTCGTGCATGCAAGGCAAACCCTATACCACTGAGCCGCCTTGAACAACAACAACAAAACTAAGTTGCAGAGCCTGGGTCCTGAGTTCAAGCCGCAGGACCAGCATGCACACATACACACAAAGATGTGTAGTGAAAGGGGGTAACTCCAGGGGCCATGTTCAATTTACATGAGATGTCCAGAGCAGACAGATCCATACAGAGAGAAACAGACCTCTTGCTTCAAGAGGCCTAGCTCTGATCAGGAGCAGGAAATGAGGAGTGGCCATTCCATAGGGATGAAATTGGGGGAGGTGAGAGACGATAAAAATGCTTAAGAGTTGCTTGTTGGCCTGGGAAGGTGGCTTAGTGGTAGAGTGCTTGCCCTGTGTGCGTGAAGCCCAGGATTCAATTCCTCAGTACCAAAGAAACAGAAAAAGCCAGAAGTGGCGCTGTGGCTCAAGTGATAAGAGCACTAGCCTTGAGCTGAAGAGCTGAGGGACAGTGCACAGGCCCAGAGTTCAAGCCCCACAACCAACAAAAAAAAAATTAGCTAGGTTTTGTCTGGCGAGGTATCCCAGGTAGCCCTTAGGAGTCTGAGGCAGGTGAGTTCAAAGGCACCTGGTCTATGGAGCAAGACTGAGGGAGGCCTGGGCTACATATTGGAACCCTGGGGAGGGTTAGGATGCTGTTCAGAGAGGGTTAAGTGTGCACATAAACACTTAATGCACCACCATTTCCCACCTGCTAACAGAAATGCTGGACCCACTGCGTGGTCCAGTGCTACAGCCTTCAGCCACGTGTGAGATGAGGCCAGTGGTTCTTGTGGAGTTGATCATGTTGTGGGGGAGGGGGTTTAGCTGGGAGTTTTGGTTTGGTTTTGAAATAGGATCTCACTATGCTCCTGCCTCTGCCTCCTTGAACTCTGGGCCTGGGCGCTGTCCCTGAGCTCTTCAGCTCAAGGCCAGTGCTCTACCATTTGAGCCACAGCACCACTTTCATTTTTTTGTTGGTTCATTGGAGATAAGAATCTCACAGACGTTCCTGCCCAGGCTAGCTTTGAATCGCAGTCCTCAAGTCTCAGCCTCGTGAGTAGCTAGGATTACAGGTGTGAGCCACCAGTGCCTGGCTCAAATAGCATCTTTTTTTTTTTTTTTTTGCCAGGACCTGGGCATGTCCCAGAACTTCTTTTGCTCAAGGCTAGCGCTCTACCACTTGAGCCACAGTGCCACTTCTGGTTTTTTTCTGCTTATGTAGTGCTGAGGAATTGAACCCAGGGCCTCATGCATGCGAGGCAAGCGCTCTACCACTCAGCCACCTTCCCAGGCCCCCAGCCTAGACTTCTATCCAATTTATTACAACCAAGAAGCTGGTATTGCAGACTCACACCACTGCACTTGGCTCATTATTGACTATTAAGGTGGAGCATCTTAATTTTTTTTTTGTGCAGGCCAGCCTCAAACCATAATCCTCTCAATTACAACCTCCTCAATAGCTAGTCTTACAAGCCACCCCATCTGGCAAAATTTAAATAATATTTAAATTAGATGGGTATGGCAGCTCACACCTGCAATCCCAGCATTTAGGGAAGCTGAGGCGGGAGGGTGATGCCAATTGAGCGACATAGCGAGACCCTGTCTCAGATATTTTGTTAATAACTGGGAGTGCTGGTGGCTCACGCCTGCAATCCTAGCTACTCTACTCAGGAGGCTGAGATGTGAGGATGGCTATTTGAAACCAGCCTGGAGCAAGACAGTGTGTAAGAGCTTTTATCTCAAATTAACCAGTAAAATGCTGGAAGTGGAGCTGTGGCTAAAGTGATAGAGAACCAATCTTGAGTGCAAAAAAGCAAAGTGAGATTACAAGGCCCTGAGTTCAACCTCCTATGCCAGCACAGAAACAGTTACATTGTATATGTGGTCTGGGGACTGTGGTTAAGTGGTAGGTACAGTGTCTGTCTATCATTTGTTAGGCCCTAGGTTCTATCCCCAGCCCTACCAAAAAGGAAACAAATCTGTATACATGGCTTCCATTTTTCCACTGGACATGGCTACCCTGTAATTTGCTTATGACATGGATGGGTTACAAGACTGCTTTTTCCCTGCCACACTCCCACCATCCCACGAAGCAAGGGCTTTCCTCTGCTTTTGCTTTGTGCCCTGCTGCGTAGCATCTTGAGCATACACACCCTAGGTGCGCAATAACTTTGTTAAATAAAGGAGTAACTGTATTTTATTGCAATTAACCGTGTGTGCGATTTTCTTTTTCATTTGTGTGTATGCTTCCCCGTGTACAAGAGCAAACCCAGCAAGCTATGGTTTGCATGCTGTCCTCTGGGTTCAGGTGCTGAAATGTGAACCCTCAGCAGTGTTGGGAGGTTGAGTCTAAGAAGCAGTGAGAAGCCAGGTGTGGGTCATCCTAGCTACTCAGGAGGCTGAGATCTAAGGATCGAGGTTCAAAGCCAGGCTGGGGAGAAAAGTCCCTGTGACCACTCAAAAGGGGAAATAGTACTGTGGTTCAAAGTGGTAGAGCACTAGCCTTGAGCAAAAAGATGCTCAGGGATCATGCCCAGACCCTAAATTCAAGCCCCACAACTGACCAAAAAAAAAAGAGGCAGTTAGGTCCTGAAGACCAGATGCAGGTGAATGGATTAAAGGCCTTATCTGGGAAGCAGATTAGTTAGGAGTGTTAATCTGGCATTCTTTTGCTTTTCTTACCCTCTGACAACGCAGAATATATATATATATATATACATATATATATAAAGCCAAATTTTTATGTATTTTATATATGTAAATATACAAATATATAAGTATATATCAAAAGCCAAATTTATATAAAAACATACAATCAAAAGTCAAAATTGTATATTATATAAATATATATCATATAAATATGTTGTTTTATATCAAATATAAATACATGATTATATATAAATATAGTGGCGGTTCTAGGGCTTGAGCTCAGGGCCTGAACACTGCCCTCGAGCTTTTTCACGCCAAGAAAGCACTCTATCACTTAAACTACTGAGCTCCACGTCTGCCTTTTTGGTAGTTAATTGGGGGTAAGAGTCTCATGGATTTTCTTGTTCAGGCAGGCTTCAAACCACAACCCTCAGATCTCAGCCTCCTGAGTAGCTAGGATAACAGGTGGGAGCCACTGGCGCCAGGCTGCTTCAGAGTTGCTATCAACTTTCTGTCATTCTCCCCATTCGTCCTTTCTCCTTAGGGGTGTAACTCTGGAAAGCCCCTGGTTTCTGCATCTCTGGAGAGAACCCCATGCTCCTCTGCGCCTCCAGGCCCTGGTCCCAGCCCATCACCAGAGCCTTGCCTCCTAGCCTTT